GGGAAGGGAAGGGAAGGGAAGGGAAGGGAAGGGAAGGGAAGGGAAGGAAGGGAAGGGAAGGGAAGGGAAGGAAAGGAAAGGAAAGGAAAGGAAAGGAAAGGAAAGGAAAGGAAAGGAAAGGAAAGGAAAGGAAAGGAAAGGAAAGGAAAGCGAAGGAATAAAGGAAAGGAAAATGAGAACAATTCTGACAGTGAGAACAATCAACCAATGGAACAGCTTGCCCTCAGAAGTTGTGGGAGCTCCATCACTTGAGACTTTCAAGAAAAGATTGGACTGCCGTCTGTCAGAAATGGTGTAGTCTCCCGCTTGGGCGGGGGGTTGGACTAGATGATCTACAAGGTCCCTTCCAACTCTGATTATCTGATCTGAAAATGAATGATAGATGATAGACAGACAGATAGATGATAGATGACAGACAGATAGATAGAAAGAAGAGAGAGAGAGGCAGGGAGGGAGATCCAGCTACCATTTTAAGTTACTAATTGTTCCCTCATGTAAGGTGGCCATTCTTAATTCACAGTCATTATTCCTTGGTGATGATGTTGCTATGTAAGGCGGCAAATATTTGGGTAGAGCAGGAGTCCACTTGAAACGTGCATCCTTTTGTTTTCAAACCCTCCCTTGGTACAAACATCTCGCGCAATAATATTTATGACTGATACAAATTCCTTACCATAACAACCATAATTGCATTCTTATTTTAAACTGCGATACATGATGTACCCAGATGACACACTGTTTAAACTGGAAGATAAGAGCGTTTGTAAAAATAAAATAAAAGTTATATATTTAAAAAAAAAAAAAACCCCTCCCTTAAACTGTTTCTCTTGTAGGGCGACGTGCCTGCGTGGGGGAGTCCTTGGCCAGAATTGAGCTCTTCATTTTCTTCACCAACCTTCTCCGTTCGTTCAAGTACCAGCTCCCACCCGAAGCAGAAGAGGTCAGCTTTGAGGAAATCACAGGGTCAATCCGCCAGCCTCTCCCGTATAACCTCTGTGCTTTTCCCCGCGAAGCTGCCTAATGCCACTTTCCCTCCAGCAAGAGTTGATGGGAGCAAGATTTTTTTGAACCATTTCATGTCTTCTAACTTAAGTGTAGATGCCCTTAACCTTCCTGAACCATCTTTGTCCATCTTGTTTGTCTTTGAAATGCATACTGTCTCCAGCTCCGTTCTCGGAGGGGGGGAGGGGGGAGAGTCTGACTGACTGACTGACTGACTTTTGGCTTCATGCAAGGAAAGCAGCAGAAGCTGCAGAAGTCTTTCTTTCTCTCCCCCAAACTCCACCAGAAATAAGTCTTTGTGAGGCGTGTTGCGTCGGCACAGCGTCTTGGAGCAGGAGGCCTTGCAGGGTCCCAGAGACTCATTTCTGGAGAAGTTTGGGGGAGAGAAAGACTTTTGCTGCTTTCCTTGCATGCAGCCAAAAGCAGAAGCGGAAAGAAGCAGCCCAGTGGGCAGGCGAGGCGTGTGGGGCACGTTCCCCACTCCGCCATTTCCCTCTTCCCCTCACTACATGTTGTTGGCAATGCAAGTGATGCAAGCCTTGTGTTCCCACAGGCCATGTGGGTGGTGCAGCCTTGTGTTCCCGCGCAGCCTGGATTAATTGCTTTTGGGGGGTGCTTTGGGGGTGACATTTCTCTGCGGACCACCAAAATTTTCTCGCGGACCATCAGTGGTATCTGGCCCACTGGTTGGCGATCACTGGACTGGAAGAGGTCCAAGCTCCAGGGTCCCTTTCAGCTCGGTTATTCTATGCTGTATTGTAGAAACAATATTGTATGTTTATTTCTGGTGTGTGCCTGCTTTTGGGTCCTGCTTCCCTGACTACACTGCTTAATAAATGCTCAGTGTTTCATTCTGATCTGCATTCACACGAGATGCTAAATTCGATCAGTAGCAACATTGGTTGATTTTGGGTGGAGCCAAGCGTGGTGGAAACCCACTTGTTTCACTACTCACTACTTCAAGGACTCCAAGTAGTGTGTAAATCCAGATAATGGATGCATTAAGTAATTAAACTGTGTGTGTATGTGTGTGTGAATAGGCATAGCAACAGAGGCAAGTTCTGACCAGTTCTGGAGAACCGGTAGCGGAACCAGCTGAATACCACCTCTGCTTCCGACACCCCAGCACAAATTCCCTGTACAAAGCAGGGCAGATCAGGACATGGCCAGATGCGGAGGTGATATTCAGCAGTTCCGACCAGTTCTGGAGAACCGGTAGCGGAAATTTTGAGTAGTTTGGAGAACCGGCATATCCCAACACTGTCTGTCCCTGCCAACCCCATCTATTCTCTGCCTCCCGAGTCCCAGTTGATCGGCTGAGTCTTGTTGTGTTGCTCTGAAAGGAGGTTAGCGGAGTGGGGAGGGAAGGGGGATTTTGCAGTATCCTTCCCCTGCCACGCCCACCAAGCCACACGCCCGCCAAGCCATGCCCACAGAACCGGTAGTAAAAAAAAATTGAATCCCACCACTGCATAGCAACCTGTTTTTTTTTTTCAGCAGCAGCAGCTTCTCTGGCACCCCTGTCATTATAATAATGCCTTCTTCTACTTCCTTTTCATTCTTTGAAATCGTTTAATTTGACCGGACACATCTGCAGGTTGTGCTTATAAAAAAAGGTCAGGAAGACGGCTACACTTTTATGCGGGTCACAACAGAGTTTCGAATGTACCATTGTGGACATCGTCTTGACATAATTTTTTTTGACCGCAACCTAATCACAACAGTACAACTTACCAATTTACGGACAGAACACTGGCTAAGTCGAAAGACAGTGAATTGCCTAAGGTCTAGGTATGTCTAGTTTAATGAAAAGAAGGACTAAGGGTGACATGATAACAATCTTCCAATGTTTGGGGCAGAGGTGGTCTTCAGCAGGTTCTGACCAGTTCTGGAGAACCAGTAGCAGAAATTTTGAGTCGTTCGGAGAACCGGCAAATCCCACTTCTGACTGGCCCCGCCCCCAACTATTCTCCGGCCTCCCGAGTCCTAGCTGATCGGCTGGGGCTTCTTTGGTTGCCCTGCACAAGAGAACAGAGCTGGAAAGCAGGTTAGCGGGGTGGAGAGAGAATGGGGATTTTGCGGTAACCTTCCTCTGCCACACCCATCAAAGCACGCCACGCCCACCGAGCCACGCCCACAGAATCGTTAGTAAAAGAATTTTTTGAATCCCACCACTGTTTGGGGGGCTGCCACAAAGAAGAGGAGGGGGTCAATTATTTTCCAAGGCACCAGAAGGCAGGACAAGAAGCAACGGATGAAAAGTAATCAAGGAGAGAAGCAAGCTGGAACGAAGAAATTTCATGACAGTGAGAACAGTAAACCAGTAGAACAACTTGCCTCCAGAAGCTGTGGGTGCTTCATCACCGGCGGTTTTTGAGAAGAGATTGGGCAGCCATTTGTCTGGAACGGTATAGGATCTCATGCTTGAGCAGGGGGTTAGACTAACTGACCTCTATGGTCCCTTCCCGTCTGTTATACTTTCTGCTCTAAATGTTATCAACTTGCCATGCCAATGTTCCCAATTAATATCGGAAATCAGACAATTAAAAAAGAAAAACAATTCACAACCCCTTGGTTTTTTTCATATTGCTAGTCCACATTTTTAATTTTTTTTTATTTCAAAAGACATTTCAACACCACCTCACTTATTTAAAAACCAAATGAAACAAAAATACAGTTTTTCAGAATCTTAATTTTAAAAAAAAAATGCTCTCCAAGGATACTTAAGGAAATGAAATGAATACTGTGTGAGCTATTGGAAGGAAAGTTGGAATAGCAAAAATAATCATCTGGATTTATATTTTGCCTGAAATTGCATTTTTTTCCTATTGCTTTTATAAGATATTTCCAACCCTCAGGATCTTTGTCTTCTGACAGAAACGCCATAAAAGATCTTTGCCACTGCACTGAGTATAATCTTTTCCACAAATCGCTTCCCTGAATGGTTGTATTTTAACTCTGCCACGGTCTCAATTACATAGATAATAAAGGGGAAAATGGGACCATATATTTTGGCAGGGATGGGAAATGGACAGCATTTTTTCCCCAGATGTTCTTTGACAAGCAAATGTGGCTCTCTTTAAGTAATAAAAATGAGGAAAAGGTTGGACTGAAGAAAGGAAATGGAGAGATGAAAGTTAAATAACAAAAATAAGGGAAAGTTGGACTGATGAAAGGAAAGGGGGAGGAAATGGAGAGATGAAATTTAAATAACAAAAATAAGGGAAATGTTGGGCTGATGAAAGGTGAAGGAAATGAAGAGATGAACTTTAAATAACAAAAATAAGGAAAAAGAGTGAAGAAACAAAAGGTGAAGAAAATGGAGATGAAATGTTTCGCAACTTTGGCAACTTGAAGACAGTTGGACTCCAACTCCCAGAATCCCACTTGTTGGCTGGGGAATTCTGGGAGTTGGAGTCCGCCCATCTTCAATTTGGTGAGGTCCTAAAGAAACCCATTAATAACTCTTTTCTTCCAACAGCCATCAATTCAATTCATTTCTGTGCCATCTTTTTCTTGGGGAACATCCAAACATTTAGCGTTTGACAAGGGGTAGGCGGCAAATAAATTTCACAATAAATAAATAAATAAATAAAAAATTAAAAGTTGAGCAGGGGACAGAGAACCAGGGAGATTTCGTGGTATAGATCTCTTCTCTGCTGATTTGCCATGCTTTCTCCCGCTTCGGTCATGCTCTTGTGGGGAATTTAAGATGCTCCGTGTGCTGCTCGACAACACCTCATGAAGAGTTAAATATCAATGTTGAGGGATGTTTGTTTAGAACAGTGGTTGGGGAAGCATGACTCCTTTATGACTTGTGAACTACAAGTCCCAGAATTCCTGAGCCAGCTGACTCAGGAATTCTGGGAGTTGAAGTCCACAAGTCATAAAGAGTCCACGCTTCCCCCACCATTGGTTTAAACTACAGTACGGGTTATACCCAAGAGGAAAACTGCAATATAAAACGACAAACGAATCCACAGTGGAGAAACAGTGTGCTAGTTCAGAAGTATCTGGAGAGCTAGGATTTCTGGGCTGGCCTAAACCAGGTTTACACAGGCCTGAAACCTGGTTTAGAGCAGACCTATCATGTGATAGAGTCCAGCACAAGCCATAACAATGTCTTGTGCAAATAACCCAACTGACATTTTTGATAAATGATGTCATTTATGTACACTACAGAATTCACAAATTCACTTACCCTGTTTTGACCACGTCATGCAGACACTGATGTTCATAAGCCACAGAAACACTGAAAATCAAATTTATGCCCTAGTTTTATTGCTCTTGAGTCCTATGGAACAGAAGAACCCAGCACTGGTGGTGTGCAAAACCCATTCATTGTAAAATGTCTCTCTTTGAACACAAAATGGCCGACTTGAGTTTCGAAAGAGCATCTTGATCATTTCGGGAATATTTCCAAGCACAAAACATCTTTGATTCACGTTCAAAACTCCCTCAGTTTTGAGCCCAAAACACTTCCATCAATAATCAAAATGTCTCGTTTTTCAACTCAAGATGAGGCCAGGGAGTAAAAATTGGAATAGTTCAAATTCAAAAACTTTTGGACGGCCAAAGTTCCAATTGTTGCATATTCCAACTTTTTGCTGCTTCAAACTTTCTGAAATGTTACAACCTCCTCTTCTTTTTCTGCCACCATTCCTTCAAATTTTCGTTGGCAAACTTATCTTTCTGCAGAAGTGCCGAACGCTATGGAAATACAAGCACGCACACCACACCAAGAGAATATTATTGCCATGGACCCAAAACCAATTTGAACACCATCACATGTACATAAATTTTCATCAAGATTTAGTGGTGGACGGAATGAGAAAAGAAAGGAATAGAGATGCTGGCAAAACCAGAGAACAAATTTCAACATCAGTTGAAGTTCCGATGTGTATTTTAAATAAATAAATTTTAAAAAATGGGAGGGAAACTTAAGCTGGGATGTCACTTAAGTTTGTTTCTACAGAAAAGTTGGTTAAAAGTCACAGATGTTCCTCTAACCCAACAAGCTGAGAAATCCAACCTACATTTGGAATGATTTCAATTTAAATTAAAAATAATTTGGCTTAAAGGTCTTAAAGGTCTCCGTTATGTCTTCCTGCAGCAAAAGCATTGATCCAAAATTACATTTTCATCACAGCCTTGAAAGAGACCTGCAGAAACCAAGAGGATGGGAAAGGAAGAGATTAGAAAGAAACAACTTGGATAAGTCAAAAAGCAAAGAGAAAATAGGTTATCGGCTTCAGGATGTTGTTTCTACAGAACAGGAATTTGGACACAGAAGCTGGAGAAACTCGTCCAAGAAAAATGAGAAACAAATGAATTCTTCACGATAGACAGATAGTTCTCAACTTACAATCACAACTGAGGCCAAAATTTCCACTGCCTACAAAGGCAGTTGTTCGTGAGTCGTGCCCCATTTTATGACCGGTTTCCCACAGTTGTTAAACAAATCATTGCAGCCGTAAAGCAAATCACCCAAATTTTAATCACATGGCCACAGGGAGGCTGCAAGGTAAGTGTGAAAAATGACCGTAAGCAGTTAAATTTACCTCGCCCACCTTGCCCCTCCCCTCCCAGGAGTCTCTACGCAGCCTGTTTTGGATGCAGGTAAGTGCAGGGTCCCTGTGGAGGCTCGGAGTGTGTGTGTGTGAAAACCGACCTTCCAAGAAGTTCTGGAAGTCCGGAAATGGGCCTGTTTCTGGCTTCTGGAGGGCCTCCAGAGCCTAGGAAAGCCCGTTTTCACCCTCCCAGAGGCCCGAGGGAAGCCTCCGGACTCTGGGGAAAGTGAAAAACTGCCCTCCTGGAAGTTCCGATAGGCCACGCTGACCATGCAACTAGGCAGAGAACTGGTTGTTGGGATTTTTGAATCCCACCCCTGACTATAAGTCACTTTTTTCAGTGCCATTGTAACTTCAAAAGGTGACTAAATGAATGGTTGTAAGTTGAGGACTACCTGTATTTGCTAATTAGAGAAAAGACTCATTGAAGGTTTTAGCAGTGGATCCAATTGGAATGCAGGAGGATATTTAGTGTAGATTTTAATCTCTTAATTGAGATCAGCATTTCTCAACTTTCACACTTGTGGACTTCAGCTCCCAGAATTCCTCAGCCAGCATGAAAGAGAAACTGGGGCTGGGAAGTCATTCAATTTACTTCTGCTAGAAAAACTGGCTGCAAGTCACAGGCATTCCTCTAACTTAGGCCTGTCAAACTGGCAGCCCACAGGATGGATGTATCACATGATGCAGGCCACGCCCACCTTGCCGGTACTGGTCTGTGGATCATTTTGTACTGGGCCGCAAAGAATGAATAATCGTGAAACTGGTCCCTGGTCCAAAAAAGGTTGGGGACCACGGTTTTAGAGGGTCTTTGAGGCCACTTGGAGGTTTATCTGTGTCCTCAGGATCAAATGGTTCATGTAGGCTGCAATTTTTCCTCTGGAAATCCTTATTCCTACTCCCACACCATTTGAAGAGTGTTCATCCAAAACTGCATAGCTAAAAGTCTGTTGAGCAGGGCTGTCAAACTCCTGGCCTGCAGGCCGGATGAGTTACGTGCTGGCCAGCTCCACCCCTGGTTTAATGAAGGGAGGAAAAAAGTCCCAGTACGTCACGTGACGATGTGAGTTTGACACCCTTGCTGCAGAGATTCTCAATCATCCAGGCCATGGTTGTCCCACAGGTGTTTGTTTTTTTTCAGGAGGCAATTGGACTTTCTTGTTTTTTTCTTTTGAAGATATTTTGCTTCTCATCCAAGGAGCTTCTTCAGCTCTGACAGGATGGTGGGGAATGGTCATTTGCATCTTTTTAGATAGTCACTGAGGACACTTGGAGGTTTATCTGTGTCCTCAGGATCAGGGGTCCCCAACCACTGGGCCGCGGACCGGTACCCGTCTGTGGAACATTTCCTACCGGGCCGCCGGTTTGCTGGGCGCCGCCATCTTGTTTGACGAGAAAGTGCTTCTGGGTGAGCTTTTCCAGTTGGAAAGCGGCGTTTGGGTCCTGAAGGAATCCTCGCGCCTTAGTTTCATCGAAGGAGGGCAGGCTTTGAACGAAACTAAGGTGCGAGGATTCTTTCAGCACCCAAGGCAAGGCGAGCCGAGCGACCATCCCGAAGCCGTCCCGAAGCGAAGCCCATTGACAAAGGTACAAAGGAGGAGTTGAAGGTGGCGGGGAGAAGCGGGGGACGGCTGGCTGGCTGGTCACTCGGCTCGCCTTGCCTTGTCATGCGTGCTGATGCCGGTACCGGGCCGCGGATCATTTTGCAATGCCGGTACCGGGCCATAGCACAAAAAAGGTTGGGGGCCACTGCTCAGGATCACCCGAGTGGTGCAAATAGTTCCTGTAGTCTGCCATTTTTTTCCTCTGGAAATCCATTCCACACCGTTCAAAGGGTGTTCATCCCAAAATGTATAGCTAAAAGTCTGTAGAGATTCTCAGTCACCCAGGTCATGAAAAAGCACCTTTGGGACAAGAATGACCTGGATGACTGAGTATGTCTTCAGACCTCTGATCTTGGCTGTTTTTCAGTTTTTCTCCTTGGTCAATGACTTTTTGGGTTACTTATTGCTGTGCTGTTTTCTTTGGAGGGACAGAATGGACTGAGTGGAACCGTACGTTGCCAAATCCCAAACAAAGAAAGAGCTCACCTCTTGCAGCCTTTGTCCCAAAGTCTCCTTGCTCCAAATGCTCTTCCTGCAGGAAAGCAAACACAACCTTATTAGAAGAGAGCAAAGTGCAGAAGGGCCCCTTTCACGGGCTTCCCTGGAAAACTTCCTCGGAGCTTCCATCTTTTTCTCCATTATTAGCAGCAGAAAAATAACCTCGGATCACCATACAACAGAACGCTGCGTAAAATCTCCCATGTTCCGAAATCAAATGCAGGAAGTGGCGATGTTTTAGGAGCACCAAAGATGATCTCTTAGGATGTCATTGCCTGTGGTCTGTATTCCTTCCCTCCCTCTCCTTCCTTCCTTTTCCTTCCCTCCTTCTATTCTTCCTTCCTTCCTTCCCTCCATCCACCCTTCCTTCCTTTCTCCATCCACTTTCGTTCCTTGTTTCCTCCCATGCATGCATCCAACCATCCATCCTTCGACTCCCTCTCTTTCTTTCTTTCCTTCTCTCCCTCTCTTTTTTCCTTCCCTCCCTCTCCTTTGTTCTTTCTCTCCCTCCCTCCCTTTCCTCCATCTCTTCCTTTCCTCCATCTCCTCCTTTCCATTTTAGTGGACAACCAGCTAACTATGAGTCAGCAGTGTGCAGTGGCAGCCAAAAATGCAATCCTAAATTGCATTAACAGAGGGGATACAATCAAGATCAAGTGAAGTACTAATACCACTCTATAAAGCCTTAGTATGGCCACACCTAGAATACTGCATCCAGTTTTGGTCACCACACTATAAAAAAGATGTTGAGACTCTGGAAAGAATGTAGAGAAGAGCAACAAAGATAATTAGGGGACTGGAGACTAAAACATATGAAGAACGGTTGCAAGAACTGGGCCTGGCTAGTCTAGGGAAGAGAAGGACCTAGGGAGACATGATAGCAGTGCTCCAATATTTGAGGGGCTGCCACAGAGAGAAGGGGGTCAAGCTATTCTCCAAAGCACCCGAAGGTCGGACAAGGAATAATGGATGGAAACTGATCAAGGAGAGATTCAACCTAGAAATAAGGAGAAATTTTCTGACAGTGAGAACAATCAACCCATGGAACAGAAGTTGCCTTCAGAAGTTGTGGGAGCTTCATCCCTGGAGGCTTTCAAGAAGAGACTGGACTGCCATTTGTCAAAAATGGTGCAGGGTCTCCTGTTTGGGCGGGGGTTGGACTAGATGACCTACAAAGTCCCTTCCAGCTCTGTTAATCTGTATCTATATCTTTTCCTCCATCCCTTTCCACTGCCTCCTCCCTTTTTCCTTTCCTTTCTTCTTCTGTTCCTTTCCTTTCTTCTTTCTTTCTCTTTCTCCTTTTCTCTTTCTTTTCCTTTCCCTTCCTCCTCTTTCCTTTCCTTTCTTCTTCTGTTCCTTTCCCCTTTCCTTTCTTTCAGATGAGATTATGACAAATACCTCAGCTGATAGTTCAAAAGGCCCAGTGAGGTCATCAGGCCCAATCTCCTATTCAGGCTTGGAATCCAATGGGATCTTTTGCCTATCTGCATGTTGGCTGGGGAATTCTGGGAGTTGAAGGCCATACACATTAAAGATTCCAAGGCTGACTAACTCCGATCTAGAATGGCTTTAAAATAGGGGTGTCCAACCTTGGCAACTTTAAGACTTGCCAGCAAAGCTGACTGAGGAATTCTGGGAGTTGAAGTCCACAAGTCTTAAAGTTGCCAAGGTTGGACACCCCTGCTTTAAAACAACACTTGGTGTGCTCTAGAAACATTGGAATTAAAATCTGCTTAAATTCTCCTCCAGACTGCCACATATGATTGAAGCAGGCTGGACGGCTGTGTGTGTGTCAAGATTCCAGCGATCGCCCTAATTAAATCACGAGCCTCGAGCCAAACTTCAAAAAACTTCAAAGGATTTATTAGGAGTGACATTCTAGCATGACCTGTATGAAGCCGACTCGGAGATAACTCATTTACAATCACCTATGAACCTGTTTCCCCTCACCTCTCTGAGTGTACTCAGATTGTCCAACCGAACATATTTCCGTGCCCAGAATACCCGGTTGCCTCAGCTACAATCTTTGTGAGATAAGCTTGGAATGTGCTTCTGAGTTCATTTGCCTTCTTCAGCATTCCTCCCTCCCACTCTTTCTTATGGCAACTTGGAAAAAAAACCCGACAAGAGTGGCTATGAAGTATTTTCTCCTCACCTGTCTATCTTCCTTGCTACAATCACCGTGAAGCTGCCCTCAGTGTCAGGCAAATATGTTGATGGGACAATGGCGTAATTTCCTGCAGGCAGCCGACATGCCTGACTTATTTCCTGAGAGTAGCAATGAGGCACACAACTGAGAACCGGTTCCAATTGCAGGAAAGCTGTGGAAGCCATTTTGACGTGGTTGTTGTCACTGGGAACCTAAGAAGAAATAACAAAGTCTTCCCTATAATTACATTGCATGTTTTGGATATCCAACAGCTCTTTTAACTGTATCATTGTGACCCGTAACAATTATAATTGTGTTATAAATATAATAAAATATAGAAATATATAATCACATTATAATTATAGAACTATCTTCATTTAATATATTATCTCCGAGACCAGTGGTGGCAAACCTTTTTGGGCTCCTGTGCCAAAAATTGTGCGTGTGCTTGCGTGCTAGCACCCAGAAGGCAATGCATGCGCCCCCCCCATGCCCCCTGCGCATGCTTGCGCAATCCCCTCCCCTTACCTGCACTGAGCCTCACAGCTGATTTTTCAGCTGAGTTGAGGCTTTTTTCGGCCTCCCAGAGGCTTGAAAAAAGCCTCTGCAAGCTTTGCAGGCCGAATAATAGGCCCGTTTCATCACTTCCACTATTACAGGAAATGACAAAATGGGCCTATTATTCACCCTGCAAAGCTTGCAGAGGCTTTTTTCAAGCCTCTGGGAGGCCAAAAAAGGCCTCAAACAAGTCGAAAAATCAGCTGATTTGAGGCACGCGCATGCACAGTGAGGTAAGTTTGCCTGAGGATTGTGTGCCGGCACAAATGGCTCTGCATGCCACCTGTGGCACACATGCCATAGGTTCGCCATCACAGTCCTAGACTGCTGCAGCCTCCCCGTGGTCACATGACCAACATTCAGATGCTTGGCAACTGACTCATATTTATGACAGCTGCTCCTGGCAATCAGGATGTGAAGCCATGCTTGCAGGTTGATTTGAAAATCATCACAGGTTACAGGATCTATTGTCATGTCTGAATACACAGACAGACAAAAGTGCACAGTGCAGTCAATGGTTTCCCAATATTGTCATGCACCTTTTGGAATCTGATTCCAAGGGGGAGGCTGAGCAGCTGACAGGGAGTGGGAGTGTGGCTCCAGTGGCTATGGAAGTCTGGCTGGGCAGAGCAAAGGAGAGATAGAACAAGGGAGAGGGAGTTTGGAGGAAGACCCAGGCCCACGCCTCTTCATCCTAGGGCATGCAGAGAGGAACAGAGAAAGGAGCAATGCTACGGGGGAGGAAAGGGCCCTGATTCCTTTCATTAGCTGCAGCTGGGAACACATTGTTTTAAAAGGGCATTTGCGCACAGCAACTCGTGGGAAGCAAATCGTGTTATCTTTTATGGTTGAAGCTGATCTGGGTTCCTGACCTCTTCCCAACTGTGTGTGTTTTGTTGGCTTTGGAAGTCTGCAATTCCTTATCCTGCGCTGTCCAGTTAATTGCTGCAACGTGTTTGTGTGGATTTTTATTTACAGTTTATATGTGCTTTGTTTTCGGACTGAATTTCTTTCATTTAAAGACTGTTCTTGGGAGAGTTTTTTTTTTCCAGCCGAAGGTAACTGGACATTGGGGGCAAAGTTGGAAGTATTAAAGAGATTTTTCTTACTTATGTGACTGTGTTGCCTTTGTGACACACCCCGGGTCATCACAATGATAAAAATTAAGGATGCTGTGGAGAACAGGAGCTACAGTAGAAATATCCACTTACAACCTCAGATTATGGGACGGTTTCCTAATTACAGGTAATCCTTGGACAGTTCATTTAGTTATGAGGGTCCTGCGCGAAATGGCTTAGGGGCGTTTGTCACACTTGAGGCCATTGTAGCATCTCCATGGCGATGGGATCAAAATTTGGAGGTGTGGCAACTGACGCTTCTTGATGACGAACAGAGCCATGTTGGCTGGGGAATTCTGGGAGTTGAAGTCCCAGACACCTTCAAGCGACCCAGGTTGAGAGACACTGGTGGAATTCAATCAGCGACCTCAAATACGACAAACCCTCCATGATTCCTTTATTAGGAGCGCCGGCAGCCCCGGCAAAAATTCTCTCTCTCGCTGCAGGCTAACAAGTCTGTCCAACAGGGAGGTGAATAGTTGCTTGCCACACCTATCCGTCTCCGCCCCCTGTCTTTTATTCCCAGAGCCAGGGTGGGGCTTTGTTAGCAGCAGAGGCTCTTCCAACCCAAGGACTGGCTCATAGATTTCCATTGCTCTCCTCTCCTCTGCCTTCTGTGCATCTACGCATCAGGCACTGGACCCAGCTGTTCCTCCTCTTCCTCCTCAGCCACCTCTAGACCTGTTGACTGTCTATCTGAAGGCTGACAGATGGCCCAGGCTCCAACCCCCCCACAACTCTCTTTGTCACCTCCACTGCCTCTTCCCCCTCAGAGCTCTCAGGTTGCCCTGATGCTATCCCAGACTACCACACCTCCTCTTCCTCTGATTTGGCTGCCGGAGGGGTCGGCGGCCGACAGGCCACAGCAGAACCTCAATATTACCTGGAAGATATGAAAGCCAATGGGACGGCACTTGTTATCTGGGCAGTGCTGACGGAGAGACACCTTGATGCTTCTTTGACCAAACCCGGCGGGAACCGACAAAGGGAAGCAGGGATTGATGTGGAACGAGGGGAAGTTGCGGCTGCCTCCGGCGTTGTGGCCTTTTTTCCACGATCCCTCCAGCTGGGCCGTCTCCCACTCGCCTCCTGGGAACGCTTCGTGGACGGTGTTATCCAGCAACGGCAGCTTGATCTCACTTGCAAGAGACCAGGGAGATGGGGAGGCCGAAAGGAGAGAAGGAAGAGAAAAAAAACAAAATTACTCACCTTATAGCTTCTCTTGCCACGAGCTCCCAACCCTGATTTTTTAAAACTTTTTAAAAATTACATCTATTATCTATAAAAGCAAAATACCCCTCACGCATTATCACAAAATCTCCAGAACCATAAAGCCTACAAATTTGAAAATTGGCACATATGTTCCTCTGGCTTCTAGGTGTTCACTAAGAAAGGTTTTTTTGAAATGACCATCAGAGCATTAGTATTTCCTATATTATTATTATTATTATTATTAACACGCTCTGATGCTAAGGAGTTCTACTCCCCCTCCCCACCTGAAAAGAAATTTCTTCCAAATGCAAAACACAAGCAGAGGAGTTTCAGTTTCAATTTCACAGCAAGAAGCTTTAGTACAGAAGAGTTGAGCTAAGCCGCACCCAGGCTCCTTGCTGTCTCCTTCTTGCTCACACAGCAAATGCTGTTTCAGTTTCCAAACAGCCCTCAACTCTCTCACACACTGTCAGTACACTAGCCAGATGAATACTGATGGAAGCTGGTAGGCAGAGGCAGAATTTTTTTCCCCCTTATTTTCCTCTCCAAAAATTAAGCCCGATCACATAGTTTCATAGCGAAGCACGGGAATCCAATTCGTTTTTAATATACCCAGGTCCTCGACTTACAAACAGTTTGTTTAGTGACCATGCAGTTACCACAATGGCGCTGAAAAATCTGACTTGGGACCGTTTTTCACAGTTACGACCATTGCAGCATTCCCATGGTCACATGATCAAAATTCAGATGCTTGGCAACTGATTCACACTTACGACAGTTGCTTCTGACAAGCAAAGTCAATAGGGAAGCCGGATTCACTTAACAACATGTCACTAATTTAACAACGGCAATGATTCACTTAACAACCGTGGCAAGAAAAGTCATACGATTTTAGTTTTTCAAAGTATTTCTAGCAGGACTACCCAATTCTGTAACCGCTTTGTTCCCTAAATATGCCATCCGTGTGTTTAACTCGCTAAGATTCATTTTTCTTGCCATGTATGCATCCGAACTAGACTGTGTTGTTTCTCCTTGTCATATAATATATGTGATGACCCGGAGTGTAACACAAACGTAACAAAATGCAAAATGTAAATAAATGTCCTTTAATGCCTCCAACTTGGCCCCACTGTTCAATAATTCTCAGTTGGAGATTAAACTTATTCAAAAATAGTCTTCAAAAGAAAGCAATACAATCCAAACTCAATGAGCAGATAAAAGTGAAATGGAAAACCAAAACAAACTACAATGAAGGAATTTCCACAACCGACCAGGATAATTACCAAATTCAAAGATATAACAAGGCACAGTCTGTTGGAAGGTTGCCAACCAAGATAACTTCAGCCCAAAATAAAACACGCTTTGCTTCCAGCAACCCTGGGTTTTAACCGTCTCTCTTATATACTATTCTCCCCAGCTGCAACCAATGAGGAGGATCATGGCCGTTTCCTCTCTCGTAAGCCAAGTTGTTTCTTTCCCTGTTCCTCCCTGCGAGTCCTAGGATGAAGAGGGGATGGGCCTGGTTCTTCCTCTGACAGCCTCTGAAGGCCTCTGCCCTTCTCCAACCTCCTCCACAACCTCCGGAGTCACACCTCCACTCCGTGTCGGCTGTTCCTCCTCTCCCTCAGAGTCCGACTCTAACAAGGGTATGACACTATATGTTAGTATATGCATCATTTTATATTTATTTATTTTGTCATGTTTATGTAGTGTATATGGGAGGTGGTGATGCAACGAAATTTCATTTTAATGTATGCCGATTGGTGTACATTCAAAGTGACAATAAAAGTTATTATTCTAATTACGACCTTTGCAGCCTTCCCATGATCACATGGTCAAAATTCAGGCACTGGGCAACACTGACTCATATTTATGATGGTCGCAGTTGTCCTGGGGTCACGTGGTCCCCTTTTGCGACCATTTGACAAACAAAATGCATGGGGAAGCCAGATTTGTCAACTCATAAAACATTTATATGGCAGTTTTAGAGTTGTCAACAGAAAGGGAGGGGGGAAAGGGGTTTGAAAGAGCAGTGCGGCAGCTTGGAAATCAAAACTGCATTCCGTACATAGTTTTTCAGAGATTGTAACTAGGTGACTGAAGTTTCTGCCACGCAAAAATCTAACCGGAGAGCATGATTGAAGACTCTTGGCTATGGATGTGTCCCATTGGAGAATATGAATTACGATACACCCAGGGGGTGGGAGGAAAACCAAGGTCAAGGGTGAGAGTCAGCCACACCCAGGCAGTGCCGGCATGTTAACTCCGAATAAATCCTTTTGAAGTTTTGGAAGGTTGGCTCGAGACTCATGATTTAATTGGGGGTAACTGCCGGAATCTTGACAGATTCACTTAACAACCATGTTACTAACTTATCTATTGCAGTGGTTCACTGCAGTGGCAAGAAAAGTTGTAAAACGGGGCAAAATCTCACTTAACAAATTTCTCGGCAACATAAATTTGGTCTCAATTGGGGTAGTAAGTCGAGGACTTCCTATACTGGGTGTCCTCGTTTTATGACCATTCATTTAGCGGCCATATTAAGAAGGGACAACAGGACTGAAAAAAGTGACTTATGACCGTTTTTCATCCTTAGGACAAATTGCAGCATCTCCGTGGTCACATGATCAAAATTCAGACGCTTGGCTACTGACTCACATTTATGATGGTATGTGGTCTCGCAATCTCCTTTTGCGGTCTTCTGACTACTGGGAAGCTAGATTTACTTAACAACCATTTCATTAATTTAATAACTGCAGTGATTCACTTAACAACGGTGGGAAGGAAGTTGGTAAAAACAGGGCAGAATTCCCTTAAATGTCTTGCTTAAACCACATAAATTTTGGGCCCCTGTCATGCCTCTGTTGGAGTCTGATTCTAAGGGGGATGTCGAACAGCTGAGAGGGAATGTGGCTCTGGTGGCTGTGGAGAAAATTGGGGAAGGGCACAGTCCAGCTGGGCATTCACAGGAAGACCCAGGCCCACTCCTTCTGCATCCTAGGGTACGCAGGGAGGAATGGATAAGGGAGCAACATGACTTACAGGGGAGAAAAAGGCCTTGATTCCCTTCATTAGCTGCAGCTGGGGAAACAGGATAAAGAAGGTGTTTGCGCACAGCACCTTGCTGGAAGCAAAGCGTGCATTATCTTTGTTTGTCACGTCTTATCTGGGTTCTGGCGTCCTCCCAACTGTATGCATTTCGTTATCTTTTGAGTTCTGCAATTCCTTATCCTGCCCTGTCTCATTAATTGCTGCAGCGTGGTTTGTGTTGGTTTTTAATTTATAATTTAGATGTACTTTGGGTTCAGACTAAATTTCTTCCTTTTGGAAACTGTTCTTAGGATAATTTTTTCTCCAGCCGATGATAACTGGACATTGGAGGCCAAGTTGGAGAAATTAAAGGGACTTTATCTACTTTTGTGACTTTGTTGCTTTTGTGCCACGTTTGGGTCATCACAGCCTTTTTGCGCTCGTAAGTAAAGGACTACAGGTTCAAAGGTCTACCTACATCCAGGGGTGGGCTTCAAAAAATTTAGCAACCAGTTCTCTGCCCTCTTGCTGGGTGGGCGTGGCCATGGTGGGCATGGCCTAGTCGGCCTCCTGCAGCACGGTGGACTGGAGGGGGGGCATTTTTGACCTCCCCGGCTTCCAGAGGCTTTTCTCGAGCCTCTGAGAGGGCGAAAATGGCTTCCCTGGGCCCCGGAGGCTCTCCAGAGGTCCATTTTTCACCCTTCCTGAACCTCCACGCAGACCTGCACTTACCTGGGATCCAAAACGGACCACATGAAGACTCCTGGGAGCAGCCAGACTGGGTGGGTGGGGCCAGGCAGTCGTTGCAACTACCGGTTCGGTGAACCAGATGTAAAAATAACATCCAGTTCGCCCGAACCAGTATGTCATGCCCAGTTGGAATCTGATTCCGAGGGAAAGGTGGAACAGCTGACAGGGAGTGGGAATGTTGCTCCAGTGGCTGTGGAGGAAACTGGGGAAGGGCACAGGCCAGCTGGGCATTCAGAGGAAGACCTAGGCCACCCCTTCTTCATCCTAGGGCATGTAGGGAGGAATAGAGAAGGGAGCAACCTGGTTTACAGGGGAGGAAAGGGCCCTGATCCCCTTCATAGGCTGCAGCTGGGAAGACTGTTTAAAAGGGCAAACAGCGCATGGCAAAGTTGTTGGAAGGAAAACGTACATTATCTTTGTCGAGGCTTATCTGGGTTTTGGCGTCCTCCCAACTGTGGGTGCTGCGTTATCTTGTGGAAGCCTGCAATTTATCATCCTGGCCTGTTGTGTTAATTACTTCAGCATGGTTTGTGTTGTTGTTTTTTTTCATTTCTATTTATCTTTACTTTGGGTTCAGGTTGCATTTCTTCCCTTCGTAGACTGTTTTTTGGAAGAGTCTGATCTCCAGCTGAGGATAACTGGACATTGGGGGCCAAGTTGGAGGCATTAAAGGGAATTTATCTACTTCGGTGACTTTGTTATTTTTTGTGCCATACCCCGGGTCATCACACAGTAGGAGCCCATCTCTCTTCCCAATTCCACCCACCCCACCTGGCTGGAGGTACCTGAGAGAAATTCTTCCACTGGAGAAAACCCGGAGTAGGAAATTTCCTTCCGTATTATTCAGGAAAGTGCTGGGAACGACCAGGTAGTACCCAGGAGAAAGTTCACAATGGAGATGCACCTCTCGGTTGTAGGAATGACAAGCTGTGCTCGCTACTGGCGGCGCAGAGAGCGTCTTGGGAAGGTTGAACTGTTTCTTCTCAATCTGGAAGACAAGAGAGCAGCACAGGGTTGAATACAGGAAGTCCTCGACTTGCAACAATTCATTTAGTGGCTGTTAGAAATAACAAGGTTACCTAACGTAGTTTGGGTAAAATAATATATATAAACTATGATTGTAAGTTTAAGTGTGTGTCACTTTAAACTGCAAAGCATGTAATTTTGGGTGCGGTGTGAAACCACCATAAGAGGGAGCAAGAGAACCTGATGATTCCTGACGATTGATGGTTTGATGGATTGATGGTTTGCTAACTGCGTGTTTTCCCTACTGCTGAGTTGCTGAACGCTGAAGGAAGAAAGGAGGTTTGACTTCTTCATATCTCTACTACGAGGAGATATATTACTGGACTGATATTTGTAAGTTTACTGACCTCTCTTTTTCGACACTGGACTTTGCAACTGTATAATCCCCGGACGGACTGAACTAGTGAATGATATATGGACTGTTTTGACTATGCTATAACTCTTACTGGAATAAACTATTTAACTAGCACATTGTATCTGTTTTACTGAGTGTAAGCTACAAAAATATTTATCTCACATATTTTGCCTGCCTGCCATGCAGATTCTGCTAGGGTGTATCCCTAACAGTGGCTGCTCAAAGTTACAAAAAAGTGACTCAGGGTCATTTTTTCAGAGTTAGCAGCCTCCACATGATCCCACGATCAAAATTCAGATGCTTCAGCACCTGATTCAGGTTGATGACCATTGCATTGTCCCCCGGGTCACGTGATCACCATTTGCGACCTTCTGACAAGCAAAGTCAATGGGGTAAGCCCTGATTCACTTAACAGCCAGGCAGGGGTGGGATTCAAATTTTTAAACAACCGGTTCTGTGGGTGTGGCTTAGTTGGTGGGCGTGGTTTAGTGGTCATGTGACCAGGTGGATGTGGCTTGGTGGTCATGCTATTGGCTGGGTATGGCCGACTCAATATCACTCACATCGAGCCACGCATCTCACCTGGCCTCTCATGACTGTGGGGATGCTGCAACAGACATAAGTGTGAAAAATGGTCATGAGTCACTTTTTTCAGTGCCATTGTAACTTTGAATGTTCACTCCACACAAGCACAGTGCCAGCAAAGGAGGGGGAAAAACTCCAGAGAAGTTCCTGAGACAGGAAGTCTAGTTCTGCCAAGAATGTAATAAGGGTTAACGGAGAGGCAGTTTCTGTAAGCAACACCAGAATGCTTCCTTTCTGCTTTCCTTACAGGATTAGGCCAGTTATTTCTTCTAACAACCGGTTCTCCGAACTGCTTAGAATGTTAACAACCGGTTCTAGCGAATAGGTGAGAACTGGTAGAATCCCACCCCTGCAGCCATGTTAGTAACTTATCCACTGATTTACTGAACAACAGTGGGAAGAAATAGCAATATAGCGCTTAGACTTAAATACTGCTTCACAGAGGTTTTACAGCCGTCTCTACAGAATCAGCATTTTGCCTCCCACAATCTGGGTCCTCATTTTACCCACCTCAGAAGGACGGAAGGCTGAATCAACCTTCAGCCTGGTGAGATTCGAACTGCCAATTTGCAGGCAGCCATTATTGGGATGTTTAACTTTAAGACGGCATGCCATCTTTAGAGAAAAGCCAGTGGGTGACACAATAAAACCTCTCCTGTGAGGAAAAAAAAAAGCTCCCAAAATATAATACTGTACAATCTGGCTTTGTTCTGAGTTCATGGGGCTGGCTAGTCAAACCCACGAGCCAAATTCTTCCAGGGAATTTTACGAGAGACCCAAACGACCTCGTGTTCTTTTAGTGCTTCTTGGCATGTCCTTTGGCCATTTTATTTTCCCATAAAAAAATCCGCTACAGGAATATTTCATTTAATGGAAGGAGCAGTCCAACTTCCAGCACATTCAGTTTTGCTCCAGGAAAAAGAATAAACAGCCCTCTATGGGGGCAGCTAGGAAGTAGATAACAGAATAGAGGTAGTCTTACAACAGTTCGTTTAGTGACCGTTCAAAGTTACAAAGCCCCTGGAAAAAAAAAATGACGCAGGCCCGTTTTTCAGAGTTACGACCTTTGCAGCCTCCCTGTGTTTTACGTGATCAAAATTCAGGCGTTTGGCAATGGGGTTTATACTTATGATCATTGCTGTGTCCCAAGGGCAGGTGATCAGTTTTGACGAGTTTCTGATGAGCAAAGTCAACGGGGAAGCCGGATTCACGTAGCAACCGGCTGCTGACTTAACCACTGTGATTCACTTAACAACTGGAGGAAGAAAAGTCATAAAATGGAGGCAGAACTCACTTGACAAATGCCTCAAAAGCAGTCCTCGACGTACGACCCCAATTGAGCCCAGAATTTTATGTTGCTAAGCGAGACCCTTGTTAAGTGGGGTTTTGCCCCATTTTTACGAGTTTGCTCCGCCACATTTGTTAAGTGAATCGCTGGATTTGTTAAGTGAGTAACCCGGTTGTGAAGGGAATCTGGCTTCCCCATTGACTTGGCTTGTCAGAAGGTCGCAAAAGGGGACCACGTGACCCCAGGACATTCCAACCGTCATAAATATGAACCGGTTCAGAGGTGGCATTCAGCCAGTTCTGACAGATTCTGGAGAACTGGTAGCAGAAATTTTGAGGAGTTCGGAGAACCGGCAAATACCACCTCTGGCTGGCCCCGCCCCCATCTCTTCTCTGCCTCCCGAGTCCCACCTGATTGGCTGGCTCTTCTTTGGTTGCCCTGCACAGGAGAACAGAACTGGAAAGCAGGTTAGCGGAGTGCAGAGGGAATGCGGATTTTGCAGTATCCTCCCCTGCCATGACCACCAAGCCACGCCCACCAAGCCACACCGCCCCCACCAAGCCACCCCCACAGAACCGGTAGTAAAAAAAAAAAAAAAATGAATACCACCACTGATACCAGTTGCCAAGCATCTGAATCTAAATCACGTGACCAAGGGGAATGCTGCAATGGTCGTTAAGTGTGAAAAATGGTCATAAATCTTTTTTTTCCAGTATGGTTGTCACTTCGAAAAGTTCCCTAAGTGAGCTGTTGTAAGTCGAGGACCATCTGTACTCTCAACTTCTGGCACCCCAGTGATTCAGATGCGAAAGTGGCTAGGACAACATCACAACAATCCTATTCCATTTTCATCCTCAAACTCGGTGGTGGTATGTTAACGGTTCAGACCGGTTTGGCCGAACTGGTAGTAAAAAAAAAGAAAAGAAAAAAGCCTTCGACCATCAGCTGAGGGGAGAAAGGAGAAAAAAGTGCAGGATTGGGCCTCCCGCTTGCCCCTGCACTTGGCGCTGCGGGCCTCAGCGGCTGTGGGGAAAGCCGTGTGCATGTTACATGCACGCACATTAGGTGCGCGCGACCGGGAACACCGAATCGGTAGTAGAGAAGGTAGGATCCCACTGCCGCTCAAACTGCAAGGGCTTCAGATGTCCCAGCGTTCACCTGAATTCATTTCTCTCGGCAATCTTGAGGACTAGAATCTTACCTTCCTGGAAAACGGAAAGAACTCGTCTGCCCGCGTGGCCATCTCCTCTTTCCTACCTTCCATATGTGCAAGCCCACGGCATGGTAATTCTTTCCTCGGACGTTATCCGCCAAGGAGGGGTCGGCTTCCGGGAGGCGAGGCCAAGCGCGGATCCTGCCAGCCCAATCTGTGCTGTGCTTGCGGGGTTTCTGCAGGAGGGCAATGCACAGCTCACTCTGCTCGCAGACTCTCAGCCAGAATTTGGGGTTGGTGGGGAAGGTGCTGTTGTTGCGGCAACCCCCCGCCGACTGCCCTCGCACCCAGGACCCATACAGCTTCTGCGTGTGGCTCAGCACTCTGTCTGTCGGAAGGAGGGAGGAAAAGATACTCGATCACGCCTCTGCTACTACTGGAGAGGAACTAAACTTTTAATATCTTAATATTCCAAGACGTTTCAAGTAACGAAACTTTTTGTCAAGTATTGGAACAAGACTAATATGGGCCCCCTCACCTACACATTAACATATCCCCTCCCCCACCAACTACCCTGTGGATTTCGCATTACTCCTTGCACTGATGTAACTCCTAACGAACCAAGAGGCTCATTAAAAAAAAGGGGGGGCGACTGCCAGAGCAGTGAAACAGATCGGGAAGCCGGGAGGAGTCAGGGCGAAGTACGGAGAAGCGGCGTTGCAGTCTGCGCAGCCCACAAGTAGATGGTTGTTTTTTTTCCGTCTGGGAGAAGAATGATTCACTCTAGTCCAGGGGGTCTCCAACTTTTTGGACCTCAGGGACCACCAAACTTATAATTTTAAATCCTGCGGAGCAATAATATAAATTTTGACTGACGGTGGCTTGCTGACGTTGGTGAGAAAGCCGGTCCCATATTCCAGAGTTGCAGTAGTCACAGGACTGGCCCTTTGGTCATCCTGGAGCACCTGCTCTTCCACCCGGGTGTATCGGCCTACCATGGACTGGAGGAGGAGCTGCTCCGGGATGACCAAAGGGCCAGTCTTGTGGCTACTGCAGCTCTGGAATATGGGACCGACTTTCCCGCCAATGTCCGCAAGGTCCACCCCAGGGCGGATTTCCCTCCCCTGCCATTGGTCTTACCTTCCAGTTCCAACTCACATGGCTCTACTCAAGGTAAGGTTTGCGCTCAGCTGAAAGGTGGGAGCCAGCGAGTGGGCGGGCCATGCGTTCCCATGCAACCTGGATTAATTGCTTTGGGGGGGATGACATTTCTCTGCGGACCACCAAAATTTTCTCACAGACCACCACCAGTGGTCCCCGGCCCACCGGTTGGCAACCACTGCTGTACGAGTGAAGGAAAAGTGACACTTCCCTCGCCTTCCAGTTTATTCTCCTGCATTTTAAAACCTCCTCTTTGCCAGTTACCCTTTGGCACGGCTGGTGCGCGAAGATCCTCCGACTAATCTAACTGTGGCGCCTCCTTCCTTTTGGCGTGACGGATTTCGAAAGGATGAGAAGTGGGCGCGTCCACATTGAAATACCATCCCGCTGTTTTTCTTTTTAAAAATTTCATTTTGTAAAAAAAAAAACACCTTTTGAAAGATTTTCCCCTTCATGGGCCCCCTTTGAGCTGAATGGGCCCTGGAACAATGGACTGTCTGTACTTCCAGATCTCCTGCTTATGGGACAACCATGACCTGGATGACTTGAGAGAATCTCTACAGACTTTCTGTACTTGTATTTCACAAAAAGGTCCTTCCTTTTAAAAGCTGGCTCTTTTCCAGCACTACATACCAGTGTAAAGGCTCTGAAGCTGTCCTTCTTCAGTGACAGGGTACCCGGTGATAACCTCATCGAATTCCATGAAGAATTCCTCTTCTTCAGCCCAAAAGTCTCCTTCTTGGAGCTGGGATAAAAGTTCAGCGCCCACCACAGGATCCAATTGATTCCATCCTGGCCCTCTGAAAACCAGAAATCACAGTTGAGGATTAATACGGTTTTACAAAACACGAACTGGCTTTTGGGCAGCTTACAATACTATAAATATTGTAAGGTAAAGGCTCGCACATAACTGCTAGACGTTTCTGGCTGTAGGGGGCGTTCATCTCCGTTTCAAAGCCGAAGAGCCAGTGCTGTCCAAAGACGTCTCCGTGGTCATGTGGCCGGCATGACTAAACACCAAAGGCGCGCGGAATGCTGTTCCTTTCCCACCAAAGGGATCCCTATTTTTCTCCTTGCATTTTTTACATGCTTTCGAACTGCTAGGTTGGCAGAAGCTGGGACAAGTAACGGGATGCCACAATCAGCTGTCGGGCGGGCGGCGCATGTGTGTGCGCAGTGTACCATTTCTGGGCGAGTGCTTGCATGCTGGCAGTAATGGTTCGGCGTGCCACTTCCAGCACGCGTGCCATAGGTTCGCCACAACGGCGTTAAGACAATCTGCCACGAACTCTGGGGAAAGGGGATGTGAGAGGGGATCCCGCTCGGGGGAAACCAAAAGTAACGGCTGTATCTCCCTGAGATGCTGCCTCAAGGTCACCCGGATGGGAGAAGAAAGCAGCTGCATACCAACCTACGCTGGACGCGACCGTTCTGAAAACATCTTGTTTTGGACCTGATTGGTCATGAGGGGGTGGCAGGTGGGAGGAGTCAGTGATGGGAGGCATTTAGGGGAGGGAACGTAGGGGTTTCGCCGTGCGATTCTCAGTTCTGGCTCTGCTTGATCGCAATACACTCGACTTCTAATCAAACTATTCCTTTCCCAACGAATGGAGCAAAGGATCGTTTTTACTGAGAGGCTGAAGCAATGGCGGGTCTGACGGAAACACTACGGTAGATGCTGGAGCCGACATGCCGGCCCACTCACCCTTCCCTCCAGGGGCCCTTCCAGCAGCGCCTCCCCCAGGGATTCCGGATTCGCAGAAGGATGGTCTCTTTCCGGGATACCTTGGAAAGGTCCTGCATGTCAACCACGATGAAGGCGTGGAACTCTCCCAGTTGGCTTGTCCCTGGAGTGCAGAAAAGAGATAACACGGCAGCCACCATTTCATCCAGTTTCCGGGCGCTTAAATTAGGCGACGGAAACTCCTGGGAAGCCCAGGTGAGGATGGTGGGAGGGGCTTCAAAAGAGCAGGAGGGGCTTCAGGGAGGATGATCTCCAGCCACTGACACGACCTGGGCCAGTGATGGGATTCAAAAAATTTTTTACTAACATTTCTGTCGATGTGGCTTGGTGGGCGTGGCAGGGGAAGGATACTGTAAATTCTCCATTCCCTCCGCACCCCACTAACCTGCTTTCCAGCTCTGTTCTCCTGTGCAGGGCAACCAAAGAAGACCCAGCCAATCAGCTGAGACTCGAGAGGTGGAGACTAGATGGGGGAGGGGCCAATCAGAGGTGGTATTTGCCGGTTCTCCGAACTATTCAAAATTTCCACTACTGGTTCTCCAGAACTGTTCAGAACGTGTTGAATGTCACCTCTGCACCTGGCTATGTCCTGATCTGACCTGCTTGGTGGCACCGTGCAGGGAATTTTGTGGGTCCCAATTTGTGCTGGGGTGTCGTAAGCAGAGGTGGTATTCAGCCGGTTCTGACCAATTCTGGAGAACTGGTAGCGGAAATTTTGAGTAGTTCAAAGAATGGCAAATCCCACTTCTGACTGGCCCCATCTATTTTCTGCCTCCCGAGTCCACCAGCTGATCGGCTGGGTCTCCTTTGGTTGCCCTGCAGAGGAGAACAGAGGAGAACAGAGCTGAAAAGCAGGTTAGTGGGTTGGGGAAGGAATGGGGGTTTGCTGCTTTTAAATTGTTTCTAGTGTCTGTCAGCTGTGGATTTCTGTTAATGGTGAAGGGAAGTTAGAGACAGTATAAGGCAGGGGTGTCAAACTGGATTTCTTGGGGGGGGGGACTAGATGAGCATTGTAGTGGCCCAGACCAGGGGGGCAAAGGTGAGATGGGATGAACGCAGTGGTGGGATTCACACTTTTTTCTGTGGGCGTGGCTTGGTGGGAGTGACTGGGGAAGGATAGTGCAAAATCTCCATTTCCACTCCTGGGGGAAGGTTACCGCAAAATCCCCATGCCCTCCCCACCCACTAACCTGCTTTCCAGCTCCATTCTCCTGTGCAGGGCAACCAAAGAAGACCCAACCGATCAGCTGGGACTTGGGAGGCAGAGAATAGATAGGGGCAGGGCCAGTCAGAGGTGGGATTTTCCGTTTCTCTGAACTACTCAAAATTTCCACTACCGGTTCTCTGGAACCAGTCAGAACCGGCTGAATACCATCTCTGGACGAACGGCCTCCTGCAGCAACCTGCCAGCCAAAACGGGCCACAAGCAGCCCCCTGCACACCCCATTTTCGGCCTAGACAACCTCCTAACCCTAACCTGCCAGCCAAAATGGACGACGGGTGGCCCACAGGTGGGCCCCTGTACCCCGTTTTGGCCAGCAGTGTGCTGCAAGCGACTGTCCAGGCCGAAAACATTTTTTACTAGCAGAAGCGCTGCAGGCCGGTCTTTTTTGCTACCATGCTTCTCCAAAAACACAACCCACCTCAATAATAAACCCCACCCTAATTTTCAGGGGTGGGTGGGCCTAATATTAGCCCTACCCCGAAAATAAGTCCAGGGGGATGAGCGTGGCCAGCACGAATGGCGGCATGGGTACAGGTGGGGGGAGGGCAACCGTCCGGCTGGAGTTGCAGCCCACTGGCCCCTTGGGGCAGCGCAAATACCGCTTTTGCCCTTCTCTTACTGGGCGCAGCGCTTCTGTTTCTTGGGCCGCTTCCCCGAAGCCACCAGCTTCCGCGGCCAGCTGCTTTGTTTTTTTTCCCCTCTTTTGGGGAGGCTCGCGGGAGGAAAATGGGGAGGGGGGATTTTGCTGCCTGTCATCCATTCCTCAAGCTCAGGACAGACTGAGGGAAGGATGGCAGGCAGGAAAATTCCCCCTCCCCATTTTCCTCCCATTCACCGAAAAAGCCTCCATTCTGAATGCTGAAGGTTCGGAATGGAGGCGACGGTGCGTCCACAGCGCATCCAGCTCACTGAGTCTGGCCTGCTGTACCTCAAAAAAAGGAAGGCCTCTGTTGTGGTTCACCACCAGCCGGTGCAGACCACAGCAATTATCGGACAGTGTCGACGAAAGGGAGTCTGGAGAGGACTTGGACGAGGGTCCTGCGTCTGATGCAGGAATGGGGCCAGGACCATCTGAGAGTGGGGTGCTGCCTTGGGAGCCTTTGGAGTCTGGCAGCAGCGAGGCAGAGGACCCAGGGGAGCCTGTTCCCAGTGCGCGTATGCGCAGAGCTGCTAGAAGGTGAGAGCAGCTGAAGCAGAAGAGGAGACTCGGGAGGAAGGCTGGGAGGTGATTGCCCCTCCCATAAAGGATAAAAGTCAGACCTCCATGACGAACGCTTTGCGGGAAGCAAAGCAGTTCAATTAGATTCTGAGTCCTTCTTGAAGCTCTGCACTCTGGTTGGTTTTTTTCTGGTACTGTTATAATTAATTTGGATACTTCTGTTTTGGGCAGCATTCTGCAGCACTGACAGGCGTGTGCTTATCTTGGGGAACTGTTTAAGATTAGTTTTGGCTGTGAATGAAAATAATTCCCAGCATTGCAGTAAAATAGGTTTTGCTTTTAAAACAAGTTTGTGTTTAATTACGTTTGACGAAGCCTGGGTCAGAAAAAAACTCCTCAAAAATAAGCCCAAGTGCTTATTTTCTGAGAAACATGGTATTTGGGCCAGATCTAAACATCTCACGGGCTGGATCTGGCTTGTGGGCCTTTAGTTTGTCACCTCTGGGGATACAATATATTTTGACATGAAACTTTCCATAGAACTAACAGCAGGACAATGAGACCGAAGTGGCTCGGTAAAATTCTCCCCTTCCCCCACCTTGCCGTGAACTGAAGACGGAGCAGCTCATGACACATTTCTCCTTCAGGTTCATCAACTGTCTGAACACCGTTTTCTCCAAGACTTTGCCGGCCCGCTCTCGTTCAGGATTTTGGCTCAGGTCTTTCAGTGACCAGCGTTCCGCAAGGCCTCCGGTCAGATCGACGAGGGCATCGGCTACCTGGCCTGCCCAGAGCTGCTCGTAAGATCCATGAACCCTAAAAACAGAAAGATCCAAACACAGTGTCATGCCTCTGTTGGAGTCTGAATCCGAGGAGGAAGATGAACACCTGACAGGGAGTGGGAGTGTGGCTCCGTTGGCTGTGGAGGAAACTGGGGGAGGGCAAAGTCTGGCTGGGCAGAGCAGGGGAGAGGTGGAGCAAGGGAGAGGGAGTTCAGAGGAAGACCCAGGCCCACCCCCTCTTCATTCTAGGCCACGCAGGGAAGAATGGAGAAGAGAGCAACATGGGTTACCTGGCTTACGGGGGAGGAAAGGGCCCTGATTCCTTTAATTAGCCACACCTGGGAATGAAAGTTTAAAAAGAACTGAATGCTGACTGAGGTAGCTGCTGGGAGCAAATGTGAGTTTATCCTGTGTTGTCGTTGCTTATCTGTGTTCCTGGTGCCTTCCCAACCGTGTTGAGTTTATTGCCGCTCCTTCACGTCTGGAATTCCTTCTCTTGCCCTGCTAGACTAATTATCTCATTTTGCCTTGAATTGGACTTATAGTTACAGTTTCTGTTGACGACGTTTTGGACTGAATTTTCTGCAGTCAAAAGCTGTTCCTGGGAGAGTTTTTCTCCAGGCCAGAAGGTAACTAGGACATTGGGAACAAAGTTGCAGATAATAAAGGGACTCCTATGGATTATCTGACTGTGCTGCCTTTGTGCCATGCCCCGGGTCAGCACACACAGCTAGTCCTTGACATACGACCACAACTGAGCCCAACATGTAGGTTGTTAAGCGAGAAATTTGTTAAGTGAGTGCTCCATTTTACAAATTTTTCTTGACCCCTTTGTTAAGTGAATCAATGCTGTTCTTAAATTAGGAACGTGATTGTTAAGTGAATAGGGCTTCCCCCATTGACATTCCTTTTCACAAGGTTACAAAAGGGGATCGTGTGAATCTGGGACACTGCAACCATCATAAATGTGAGTCAGTTGCCAAGCATCTGAATATAAATCACAGGACCATGGGAATGCTGTGATGGTCGTAAGTGAGAACAAACTATGGCAAGAAAAGTCGTAAAATGGGGTAAATCTCAACCTGGGATAATCCGGGTCGTGGTCCAAAAGCAACAAAGTCACAAAAGTAGATAAAATCCCTTTAATACCTCCAACTTGGCCCCCAATGTCCAGTTATCATCGGCTGGAGACAAAACTCACCCAAGAACAGTTTTTAAAGGGAAGAAATTCAGTCTGAACCCAAAGTACATATAAATTATAAAGAAAAACCAACCCAAACCAGGCTGCAGCAATTAATGAGACAGGGCAGCATAAGGAATTGCAGACTTCAAAAGATAACGAAACACACATAGTTGGGAGGACGCCAGAAACCAGATAAGACTTGACAAAGATAATGCACGCTTTGCTTCCAGCAAGGTGTGTGCGCAAACTATCTTTTTAAATCCTGTTTTCCCAGCTGCAGCTAATCAAGGAAATCAGGGCCCTTTTCTCCCCCGTAACCCATGTTGCTCCCTTCTCCGTTCCTCCCTAAATGGTCTAGGATGAAGAGGAGGTGGCCCTGGGTCTTCCTCTGAAGGCCCCGCCGGACTGTGCCCTTCCTCAGTTTCTTCCACAGCCACTGGAGCCACACTCCCACTCCCTGACAGCTGCTCAACCTCCCACTCGGAATCAGATTCCAACAAGGGCATGACGCAACCACTGTTTCACCTAGCCACAGAAATTTTGGGCTCTATTGTGGTCATAAGTCAGGGACCACCTGTAACCAGAGTGACCGTGCCCATCACATACTTGGCGTAGGCTTTCTCCAGCAGGGGAAGCCAAAACACATCTTCCGTCTGGCACTGGGAGAAGCAGAGCTTGCCCCCCAGGCAAGGCAGCCGATCATCGATGGTCACCTCCACCCAGTGGCCAAACTGCCAGATACGGCAAGTGAAACATCCTCGGTATTTCTCATCCTTCCAACTGGGCTGACCTGGAGGTATCACCTGTGATAAGAGAAGAACCCACTCATTGGTACGAATGCAACTGGTCGAAACAGCCGTCAAGTTTCCTAGACTGAAGTGCTTAAGCCAGGGTTCCTCAAACTTTTTAAACAGGGGGCCAATTCCCTCAGACTGTTGGGGGGGGCCCGTATCGCTGGGTGGGTGTGGCTAGGTGGGCATGTGACGGGGTGGGTGTGGCCAATTTAGCAGCCCATTAAAAACACACACACAAATTAAACTTTAATTTGGTACGCTCCTGGGGGTGGAAAGCAGGTTAGTGAAGGGATGTGGCTGCCTTGGGATGTGTGTGAGGGATTTCTGTTTGTGTGTGTGTGTATGTCTTTTTCTCTCTCTCTCTCTCTCTCTCTCCTTCCTTTCTTCCCTTTCTCCCTCCCTCTTTCTCTTTTTCTGGAGGCCAGAGAGGCCAAAAACAGGCCCACTTTTGGCCTTCCCAGCCTCCAGTACCACTCTGCTGCCCAAAAATGTGCCTGTTTTCAGCCTCCTTGGCCCTCAGAGGGTGGGTAGGTGGGGTGATGTGGGCAGGGCAGCCTCATGGTCCGTGGGGGCCGTAGTTTGAGGACCCCAGGCTTAAGCCCTCCCACCCGACCTTTCCGAATATTCCAAGATTCTAGTCCTTACGGAGGCAAAGGGCATTTGAAAATGCACGTCGTTTTTGCACAACAGTGGAAGAACGAAGAGATCCCTACAGATGAAAGTGGAGTTTAAAAAAAAATAGAATGCACAGAGATGTATAGATCAACACTCGAAATAAAAGAGAAGGAAGAAACAGAATATTTTTTTAACATGAAACTCATTTTACCAATGGTTAGTTAACAGAAACAGAAGTTAGAAACTCAAAAGTTTAAGAGAATGACTATTAGGATGGATAAGGATAGGTTTATTAGGATAGGTTTATTAGTATGGATAAGCAAATACAGTTATTATGTGATTATTATCAAGGCTATAATTTCATTTAACTGGAGATTCCTCAGCCGTGACACTTCGGGTGCAGGGATGCAAACGTTATAAGTTTCACTTAGAAATCTCGTACTCGTGAGGACCTGTAGCCCAGATGGCAGGAGAGATTTTACCTTGGTTAGCAGGTATTTGTTTTTCTGCAAAGCGGCACAGGCACAGAGAAACCAGCAATCTCCCAGCATGCCTTGCTTGACCTGCCATTCATGTTGATTGTCTGAAAATAATCGAGGTGAAGAGCAGATCTCCTGAGGGGGAAGAAAAAGAGAATTTAGAGAGGAAACACGCTATGTTTGCAATGTTTTTTTTCCTTTTTTCCTTCCTTCCCTTCCTTCTCTCCTTCTCCTTCCTTTTCTGACCCCCTCTCCCTCCCTTCCTTCTCTCCCACCCTCTCTCCTTCCTTTTCTTCCTCCCTCTCCTTCCTTCCTCTTGTTCCTCCATCCCTCTTTCCTTTCCGCTCCCTCCCTTCCTCCCTCCTTCTCTCTCCCTCCCTCTCCTTTTCTTCCTTTCCTCTTTTCCTCCCTCCCTCTCTCCCTTCCCACTCCTTCCTTTTCTCCCTCTTTCTCTCCCTCTCCCTCCCTCCCTTCTTAAATGTATATGCCGCCTGATTTCCAGCAACTCTTAACAGTTATTACTGATATAGATTTGTTGATATTGTATGTTAGGAATGATAATCACCTAACTGTTGGGTTGGCGATATATAAACCAGGATAGTTATTTAATGTTGTTTAAGAGAATGCTGTAATATTGATTGGCTGAGGTTCCTCCAATGGCCATAAGATGGAGCCAGAAACCTGGTTTGTTCTTGCATTTTTTCTTTTGCGTTTTGCATGATCGTCATTCTGCTTGGATTGCTGTGAGTCTTGCAACTGTTAGCAAACTTCATTTACTGAACTTTGTGTATGATACTGGACTTCGCTTTTGGATTATCCCTGGACTGATACTAACTGCTTTAATTGTGTATGATTTGGACTGTTTGTTGGACTTTGTTTACCCGTTTATTGGAAGTAAAGCCTACATTATACTATTCAGTGTAACTGTGTGCTTGTTGAGTGTTATTCAACACCACTCTCACCTACGTTTCCCTGAGTGCACTCATTCTTCTCACAGGGAATACCTCAACATTGTATTATTACACTGCACTAGCTTCTATACTATTGCTTTTATATACCACTCAGTGTCTCTTTAGAATGAGGCAGTCCGTACATTTTATAAACAAATAGATGAAATAGCAATTAAACTCTTTTCCCATGACTGCGTTCTCAGAGTATTTTCCTCATCTAATGTGGTTTGTTTTTTTTTTTATAAAAAAGCTGGCCAAGAGGTGAAGATGTTTATGCAGTTGAACTATTAAACAAGAAATTAGCCCAGTCAAAACAAGACAGTGGGAACCAAGATTGATCTAGCATTCCAGCTGCAGAGAAAGTTGTTTGTTCGTGTGTGTACAGGGGAGTTGGGGAATTTCCTGAGCTGGAAATTCGAGGAAGACTGAATTCTAGTAAATAGTAAGGTTATCACCACGTTCAATCAAAGGCACTTAGAATTTCTCCTGAAGATTTTGTGCCATACAGGCAACCTTCGCTTTAAAATAGTCCATTCAGTGACCGTTCAAAGTTACAATGGCACTGAAAAAAATGACTTACGCCAGTGGTGGGATTCAAAAAATTGAATTACCGGTTCTGTGGGTGTGGCTTGGTGGGCATGGCAAGGGAAGGCGACTGCAAAATCCCCATTCTCTTTCCACCCCACTAACCTGCTTTCCAGTTGCGTTCTCCTGGGCAGGGCAACCAAAGACCCAGAGAAGAGATAGGGTTGGCGAGGCCAGTCAGAGGTGGTATTGGCCGGTTCTCTAGAACAACTCAAAATTTCTGCTACCGGTTCTCCAGAACTGGTCAGAACAGGCTGAATGCCACCTCTGCTTATGACCAATTTTCACACTTACAATCATTGCCACACCTCCATGTTCATATGATCAAAATTCAGACACTTGGCAACTGACTCATATTTACGACGCTTGCAAGATCCCGGGGTCATGGGATCCCCAATTTGAGACCTTCTATGGGAAAGCCAGATTCACTTAATAACTGTGGGAGGAAACGTCGTAAAACGGGGCAAAATTCACATAACAACTGTCTCTCTTGGTAACAGGGACCTTGGACTCAATTGCGTACCTAAATCAAGGATTCAGGGATATGGGAAGATCTTTGCAGGCACGCATTTCATTTCTACTTTCTAAAATATGGCAGCTTCTTTCAGGCAGCCGTCCAGACAGGAAAGTGCTAGGAATTTAACCCACCATGATTTTCAGAAACAAACCTGAGGTCTCAGCCAGTAAATTTCTCCTTTGAACTGAGCCAACGGTGTAGAACAGTTGAAAAAGAGAGAATCGTCGCTAGCCGGAAACGCAAGGTCCTTGTAGAGGTCTCCTTTCGGATCTGCCAGGACCCCGGTGCCCAGCATCTTTTATAAATCTTCAAGGACCTGCAGCCCCTTCAGAGGCAACTGGGGGCTTGATTTAAATCTGCAAAACATGTTAGGAGGCCAGGAGAGAGAAATTGCTTTAAAATGGTGTTTTAAGAAAGTAGGCTTATATTTGAACAACCCAACATAAAAAAATAGTCTTGATGCAGTTATATTTCATTTTTCCCCCCTCCTTCTCAACATATTTAAAATGTGCTGGCTTTTTTTTTTTTAACTGAAGAAAGCATAGCATAAAATTATAACAGATAGAGGAAGATCAACCAAGAGGAAAACAAAAACAACAGAAACAATAAAGGAGAAAAAGTTTACAGATGCAATTGCAAATTGAACGCCAACCTTGAAATATCCATACTTTGTCCCATTAATACTTAAAGGAAAAATATCGTTAATGCAACAAATAAAAGAATTAATCTGCACAATTTCATCTAATCTTACGAAGCTTCTCCTCCGGAAATACGGAATTGCTAACTAGGGCATACAAAACTTTTGCTAGACCAATACTCAAATTCATCTCATCTGTCGGGAATCCGCACTGTATATCGGACATTAATACATTTGAGCAAGTCCAGGAGTATTTCATGAGAAGAATACTACACTCCTCTGCTCGCAACAGAATACCCTACATCACCAGGCTTGAAATTTTGGGCTTGGATAACCTAGAACTATGCCACCTACGGTTGGACTTAAGCGTGGTACACAAAATTATCTGCTACAATGTCCTATCCGTCAATGACTACTCCAGCTTCAACCACAACAATACAACAGCACACAACAGATACAAACTCAATGTAAACCGCTCCAAACTTGATTGCAGAAAGTACGACTTCAGCAACAGAGCGGTCAATGCCTGGAATGCACTACCTGACTCTGTTGTTACATCCTCAAACCCCGACTCCTTTAATCTCAAACTATCCACTATTGACTTCACCTCATTCCTAAGAGGTCAGTAAGGGGTGTGCATAAGCGCACAATCATGCCTCCCATCCCTGTCCTATTGTCCTGATTTATTCTTACCTATTTCCTGTATTCTTACACATGTTTATACTTATACCTATTATCTTGTAAGCGATTTGACAAATCAAATAAATAAAAGTTTCAGAAAAGTGGTCTATCAATGATCATGGGCCTTGCCTCAAAAATCGATGTTTCTTAAACTTAGCAGTCTGTCTCAACCGACAGTGGTGGATTCTGGGAATTGAAGCCCGTCCATCTTAAAGTGGCCAAGTGTGAGAAACGTTGCACTAAATCAGAGGTCTCCAAACTTGGCAACTTTAAGACTTGTGGACTTCAACTCCCAGACTTCTCCAGCCGGCTGGCTGGAGAATTCTGGGAGTTGAAGTCCATAAGTCTTAAAGTTGCCAAGTTTGGGGACCCCTGTACTAAATTTGACATTCTAGGCTCAAGACACCTTGTTCCTGCCTTAAGAGTAGAAACAAACTAGATGTGAACTTCCCAGTAGGATGTTATTTATTTATTAAATTTATTGGTGGCCCATCTCATTTCAAAGCAACTTCAAGGATATGGCCGGGGGGTTTGTTAAAATAGAAATTTGGTCTACTTTAAAAAAAAAACCTTCCTAGCAATACAGGTAATTCCTCAACTTGCAACAGTTCGATTGGCGACCAAGTTACGACGACGGCACTAAAAAAAAAGGTAATTTATAACCGTTTCTTACACTTACAGCCATTGCAGCATCCCTAGGGTCACATGACCAACATTTGGCTGCTTGGCAACTGGTTCATATTTATGACGGTCACAAGGTCCTAGGACCACGGGGGTCACCCTTTTTCCATCTTCTGGCAAGCACAATCAATGGGGCAATTCACTTAACAACCGTGGCGAGAAAGCTGGCAATATGGGGCAAAACTCATTTCACAACTGTCTCTCTTAGCAACAGAAAGGTTGGGCTCACTTTTGGTCGTATGTCGAGGACTACTTGTATTTAAAAGAGGGGGGTAAACCACGTTCTTGACATCCCCTTTTAAAATTGCAAATGTATTTTAGATTCCACTCCAGGGGGGAGCTATGTGCTTTTTCGTTTCTTAAGAGTCCGCTGATTGAATGGCACCTTCTGGTACATACAGGTGAGCCAATTTGCTTACCATGTTGGTCCTCTCTTTTCGTCCGCTGCAGTTGCTAAACTCTCCAGACAACCCAGCTACATTCTGATTAATCGACAAATGGAGCAGATAGACGAGGCTGCGGGTAAAACACAATTCATAACCAATCAAAATCAGAAAGAGGGGGGGAGGGAGAGAGTAAGAGAGAGAGAAGAAGAAGGAGGAGGAGAGGGGGAGGAGGAAGAGAGGAGGAAGAGGAAGAAGAGGAGGAAGAGGAAGAAGAAGAGGAGGAGGAAGAGGAAGAGAAATATTTGGCTGGAAATATTCATTGGAGAAATGGTAGGGCTGCTCAAAGACTTTGATGGGAATGGCCACAGGTGCCTGACCATTAAATCATCAACATCACCATTCTCAAACTTTGCTTGTTCTGTCAATGTGGCTCCTAGATCTTTAAGCGACCCGGCTCAACCCATGATTGTGGGAATGCAGCCAACAACCAGGGACTCCCAACTTTGGGGACAGAGCCACCAACCGAATAACAGAAAAGAAGTAGGCAGAATAACAGAATAGCAGAGTTGGAAGGGACCTCAGAGGTCTTCTAGTCCAGCCCGCTGCTCAAGCAGGAGACCCTATACCATTTCACACAAAGTGGCTGTCCGGTCTCTTCTTAAAAGTCTCCAGTGATGAAGCGCCCACAACTTCTTGAGGGAAGCCCTTCCACTCAATCAACACAACTCAAAATCTGGGGCTGTTTTGCAGAATTCGGGGCCATTTATGAATCAAGACCTGTGCCACCCTGGCCGCAGGTGCCTTTGCTCCTTCTGGCAGCAAACCTCCCCTGCATGGCAGTGTGATGAACCGGGGCGTGGCACAGAGGCAAAACAGTCACAAAAGTATGAAGAGTCCCTTCAGTGCCTCCAATTTTGCCCCCAATGTCCAGGTTACCTTCAGCTGGAGAAAAAACTCTCCCAGGAAATCCAGTCCTAAAACAAAGTACATACAAACTGTAAATAAAAATCCAGACAAACCACGCTGCCGCAATTAACTGGACAGGGCAGGTGAAGGAATTGCAGACATCAAAGGCCAGCAAAACACACACAGTTGGGAAGACACCAGGAACCCAGATAAGCCTTGATAATACCAGATAATTCACGATTTGCTCTCAAGTTTGCTGTGCGCAACTTCCCCTTTTAAACACTGTGTTCCCAGCTACAGCTAATGAAGGGACACAGGGCCCTTTCCTCCCCCGTAAGCCATGAAACTCACATTGCTCCCTTCTCCCAGGGATAAAGAGGGGGTTGACCTCCCTTGCTCCACCTCTCCCTTGCTCTGCCCAGCTGGACTTTGCCCTTCCCCAGTTTCTTCCACATCCACCAGAGCCACACTCCCACTCCCTGTTAGCTGCTCGGCCTCCCCCTCCGAATCAGATTCCGACAAGGGCACGACAGGCAGAATCAGAAGCCAGATTTGGTTGCTGGAATTGGGTAAGTCTAGTTTAATGAAAAGAAGGACCAAGGGAGACATGATAGCAGTCTTCTAATATTTGAAGAAGAGGGGAGGTCAAGCTTTTCTCCAAAGCACCTGAGGGCGGGACAAGAAGCAATGGATGGAAACTCATCAAGAAGAGAAGCAACCTAGAACTGAGGAGGAATTTCCTGACCGTGAGGGCAGTTGGAACTCCTTGCCACCAGAAATTGGGGCTGTCCCATCACTGGAGGCTTTGAAGAAAGAGAGATTGGACAGCCATTTGTTTCAAAGGGTACTATAGGGTATTCCTGCCTGAGCAAGCAGGGGGCTGGACTAGAAGACCTCCAGGGTCCCTCCCGACTCGGTTATTTTGTTATTTCCTTCGGTCAGCAAGCGTCCCTGCTGCTGATTCGCGGCCAAGGGCCCCTCTGGTCCGCATCCCATCTCTGCTGTGCCGCTCGCCAGGGTTGGATCCCGCCATCCCGTAAGGATAGACTGCTCCTGGGCAAGGAGGCTCTCTTAGGGGACGCGCATCTTCCGCGGCTTCTGAAGCCTCTGCTTGCATCTCTTTCGAAGCACCCCCCGCCCGGCCATGCCCGACCCCTCCTTCAACCCCTTCTCCCTCCTCTCCGGCTTCACAGGCAGACAAAGCTCGCGGCTCCCTTCCCGTCCCCACGCCCACCTCCCCCCAAAACCGCGGCAGAGGGGTCCCCTCTCTCTCCAGGCGGACCCAGAGACGGCGCGATTCGCACCGGCGCAGCCTTGGATGCCGCCGCCGCCGCCGATCTCGAACACCGGCCGCGTATCTGTCCAAGGCACCACCTTGGGCGACTAGCGAACTACCGCTCCCAGCATGCAGCGGGAGCGAGGAGCCGCCCAGGTTCCCAGCATCCTTTGCCCCGGAGAAGAACTACGTCTCCCAGCAGCCCCTGGGAGCCCGCCTCCCCACCGGATAGGCTGGGAAGCGGGAACTCCCGCTTGCTTTTGCCAGGACTTTACTCGGGCGTAGTGCGCAGGCGCAGGCGATGCCCGCCTCTCAATATCCGTCGCCGCTGTTGTATGGCTGCACGTGGCCGTTTCCCACCAGCTGCCCACCGCTCTCCCCCCCCCCACACCTCAGGGAGGGCGAGGAACTCCCCCCAATGCAGTATAGTCCTCGACTTACGACTGTTCATTTAGTGACGGTTCAAAATTGCAATGACACAGAAGAGAGTGACGTGAGGCTGCCTTTCATCCCCATTATTACAGCGTCCGAATGGTCACACGAGCAAAATTTGGGTGCTTGGCAACTTGTATTTATGAGAGTTACAACCCCTTGGGGTCACTATTTGTGGCCTTCCAAGCCGGCTTAACACATTTCTCATTTAGCAACATAAATTTTGGGCTCAACTGTGGTTGTTAAGTTGAGGGCTACCTGTATGCCAACTTTGCAAACCCCTTAAGAGTGCTGGAAGGCACTGCAAAGCAGTAAGAGTATTGCTCTTCCTTCTTTCCTCTCTCTCTTCTACCTTCCTTTCCTCCCTTACTCCCGCCAGCCAGCCATTTCCTGCAGGCTAATTCACTGCTCACTGCCAGGAGTTTGATTCTGACCAGCTCATGGTTGACTCAGCCTTCCGCCCTTCTGAGGTCGGTAAAATGAGGACCCAGATGGTTGGGGCAAGAGGCTGACTCTGTAAACTGCTTAAGGAGGGCTGTGAAGCACTGTGAAGTAGCATATAAATCTTAAGTGCTGTTGCCCTTCCTTCCTGCCTCCCTCCCTCCTTCCTGTCTCCTTCTCTTGTTCCTTTCTTTCTTTCTTCCTGCCTCCCTTCTTCCTTGCATTGTTCCTTCCTTCCTTCGCTCCTTCTGCCCTCCCCCCCTTCTATGGTGGCGCAGTGGTTAGAATGCAGTATTGCAGGCAAACTCTGCTCACTGCCAGCGATTCGATCTTGACTGGCTCAAGGTTGACTCAGCCTTCCGCCCTTCTGCGGTCTGTAAAATGAGGACCTGGATGGTTGGGGCCAAGAGGTTGACTCCGCAAACTGCTTAGAGGGCTGGAAAGCACTATGAAGCAGTATATAAGTCTAAGTGCTATTGCTATTGCCTCATTTCAGTTCAGCTTTACTTCCAACAGTGGCGGAGTCTTTATCATGAAGAGGATCCAAATCTTTGGGGCAGAAAGTGGGGGCTGCACCCAACTTACACCTCAAGTGATGTGCATTGTGTATTGTATTGCCATGTGAAAGAAAAGCTTTTAAAAATGTTGCTTTGAAACAATAGTTGGGGGGAAAAAAAACCTCACGCAATGAGTTTTTTTTAACATGGAGTCAGGGTTGTCCATGACAGGTCAGAAAAGTCAAGATGGCTGCCACACAACACCCCCACCCTTTCTACAAGCATGGCTGCAGCAGCTCTGTTTCAGCAAGGTTTTGCTTCCCTTGACTTACAGTTCATTTAGTGACTGTTACAAGGACACTGGGGAAAAAAGGGACTTACCATTTTTCACATTTACGACCATTACAGCATCCCCGTGGTCACAAGACAATACTTGGCAACTGACTCATACTTATGATGGACACGTGATCCCCAGCGGACAAGCCAAGTCAATGAGGAAGCCCGATTCACTTAACAACTGGGTTACTTAACAACTGCAGTGATTCACTTAACCACTGTGGCAAGAAAGGTCGTAAAATGGGGCAAAACTCACTGTCTTGTTTAGCAGCAGAAAGTTTGGCCTCAATTGTGGTCGTAAGTCAAGAACTACCTGTAACGTCCTTGTTGATACCGTCAACGGCTAAGGGGAGGAAAAACCACAAAACCTCCCAAAGTCACAAACATTAGTTTAATTCAACATTTATAAGTGATGTTATTGTAAGGCATCCAGGTTCATCTCCAAGGAATTTCCACCCTGGTTGCATACATTCTCCTGGAAAATAGAAATAAAAACGCAGGATAACACAGCTTAGGAGTGCAGAAAGGGGTGTAGTGGTTGCAGTCTCAGCCAGACTGGAGCAGGTGTCAAAAGTGCTGCCAATCAAAACACCTTAAAACGGGGAAGACGAGAGCGCCCTGCAACGTTTCCAAGTAACGGAGGAATCCCGGAGCTGCTACGCCAAATGATCACAACCCAACTCAAGCAACTTTGGAGCCCGACTTCGTTATTGCTTGTCCTCCTTTTGTCCGAAGCCCCAAAATCGCTCCAGGTGAAAAGTTACTTCAGATATTTCAAGGGAAACGGAGCCGAGGACATGGAAACAGACAATTTAAGCACCTTTGTGAACCAGTTTTCACAAAGTAGGAGGCAGAGGACAAGCAGCCCTCTCTGCCAGAGCTGGACACAGAGTGGTATCTGCCCATCTTTTCTGGGACACAGAATAAATATTCCTCTTGAACAAGGGAGGTACACACAGAAAGAAATCCCAGAGTTGCTTTGGTAAAACACGTGAAAGGGGTTGTGTGAGCTCAGGTATGCAGGGAAAAGGGACAAACCCAAAAGCATGTGAAGACAGAAGTCAGTGGGTTTACAGCAGCCTCAGGACAGGCGTTTTGTGTTGTTGGGTTTTTTGTTTTGTTGCAAAAAAGATTTTAACACCCCTATTTTACCTGTTGTGGAAAGGAAATAACGACATTGCACGGTTGCATTTGGTGACTGGCCACAGACATACCTGTGGCCCAATCTTTGAAGGCCTTCCCGTCCCGGCTGGGCAGTCTGTGCCTACTATACCGTTAACCGTTGGGGCTTGCTGGTCTCCGAGGAAAGCAAAGCAGTGTTAACACCCACGTTAACACCCCCCCACCCCCAAGGGTTGGCTTCTCCACCCACTCCTCCCCATCTCTATAAAGCCTGCTGTGCGCCGACACCTTCGGCCTGTGAATCACACCCAAATCTCTTTTTAACCTCTGACCCATTTTCCACCGTTTTCCTGAAATCGAGAGACCGCTTGGAAGAAACGTTTCATTCGTTAGGGCTCCGGGCCACAAGTGCAGCAGCGTACAGCGGGACCAATCCCGACTTCCACGTTTACCATGATCCTGATCAGTTTTTTGTTCTGCAGCCTGGGACCAGGGAGGATTCTGCCTCCTTCCAAGGCTTGGAAAGCGAGTGCTGGTAACGCGCTTTTGTTGGCAGACACACAAAAGGAAATCTGATGTTCACATTCATGATGCAATGAGGCTAAACAGTCACTTGCTCCCAGTCGCTGCTTAAGAGTTAGAAAAAGATGTATCCCTGATATCTCGCTGTGCCTAGGGGCTCAGGCACCTGAAGGCACGATGTACACGCGGGGAGGGATTTTAAAAAGGAAAAATCCCCACCCCCCACCCCCACCCCCACCCCAGCAGTGCCACCAAGGGCAAGAGAGCGCAGTCCCAGCTTGGCGTTCTGGCTGGCCCTTCCAGCTTTCCAAGGTCCAGCGTCAGCTAAGCAGACACGTTGACGTCCCTGAGTGAAACGGCGCCGTGCGCGCCTCCTCTGTCCTCCAGCTCGGTGCCCGGAGGGTCCGCCACCACGGCTGCCGTCTCCGTGGCGAGAAGTGGTGGGTTCAAGCCCTGGGTCAGGATCTGATGAATGGTTTTCCGCAGGTTCGGGTGGAGCTGGGTCTGGGTCTGTAAAAAAACATCTAGGGCGAAGGATTTGAGGGTGCTGGTACAGAGATCCTCGTACAAGGGGATCGTGTACATGCGGGACATCTGTAATACAAGCAGAAGGAGCCCCGGGTCATCCCAAGAGACGCGTATCGAATCTGGTTGCTGTAGTAACAGAAACCTGGGACTAGCGACCAGTAGTCAAAGGCTACATTTATCCTAAAATTCCTGCTGATTCTCCCAACCAAAGCTCCTTATTGGTATCCTATGGCTATTATTAAGTGTTGTACCTTATGATTCTTGACTCTTGACGAATGTATCTTTTCTTTTATGTACACTGAGAGCATTTGCACCAAGACAAATTCCGTGTGTGTCCAATCACACTTGACCAATAAAGAATTTTATCTATCTTTTCTGTCATAAGGTAATAAAGCTGGCATACCTGAAACCTGAAACCTCTCTGCTGCCACCTAGTGGACAACAACACCCCGAGGAAAAACAGGGAAACATACAAGTCAGTCCTTAACCTACAACGGCTCATTCAGTGACCACTTGAAGTCACAATGGCACCGAAGCGGTACTAGGACTGTTGGATCATCTCCATGGTCCTATCATCGACATTCAGGTGCTTGGCAACTGGTATGTATTTATGTCGGTTGCATGGCTGTCGTTCGTATCCCTGCCCTTCTGTTGATAGAGGGCTGTTCAATTTTGACATACATGGCCTCTTTGACCCCTCTGTCAAATCTCTCTGTCCAAAAGGTGGACTTTGCTGTCTTCAAAAGACTGGTTTTTGTCTTTTAAATGCAAATGGACTGCTGAATCTAGTAAACAGAGGGGGAGGAATACCACATCATCTGTCTCCAATCTACAACACAGTTCTTTCAGCAGTTCCAAGAAGGCTCCACACCAATTTGCACTACTCAGGTGACCCTGAGGACACAGATAAACCTCCAAGTGGCCTCAACTACCCTTTAAAAGGATGCAAATGACCAGCTTTTCTGCAAAGAGTATAAATCGTTCCATTCCCCATCATCCTGTCAGAGCTGAAGAAGCTTCTTGGATGAGAAGTAAAACGTCCTCAAAAAAACAACAACCAGAAAGTCCAGTTGCCTCTTGAAAAAAAAAAAAAAAAAGCACCTTTGGGACAATCATGACCTGGATGACTAAGAATCTCTACAATTTGGGATGGACACCCTTTGAATAGTGTGGGAGTAGGAATGGATTTCCAGAGGAAAAAATTGCAGACTAGAGGAACCATTTGCACCATTCAGGTGACCCTGGGGACACAGACAAACCTCCAAGTGGCCTCAGTGATTCTCTAAAAGGATGCAAGTGACCAGCTTTTCTGCAAGGAATATAAATCCTTCCCTTTCCCATCCTCTAGTCAGAGCTGAAGAAGCTTCTTGGATGAGAAGTGAAATGTCTTTAAAACAAAACAAAACAGAACGACCGGTTGCCTCTTGGAAAAAAAAGTACCTTTGAGACAACCATGACCCGGATGACTGAGAATTGCCATAAACTTTTGGGCTCAATTATGGTTCTAAGTCGAGGACCACATGTATTTGCACATGGTCCTTCCATTCCACTACCTTGGCTAACAAGTACCAAACAATTATTAAGATATTTAATAGCTGGAGCAGTGAAGGATTGGACCGTGAGTAAGAACACACACTTATAGCTAATTGGCTAAAGAGAGCGGGCCACTGCATGAGGGAATCTGAGCTGTGATTGGCTGCTGTGAGAGTGAAGGGGAAGTTTCCTTATTTCCCGCCTTTTTCCCTGTGTGTGCGCTCTCTGCGATTTACCTCATGATGCCCGTGCTATGCTGATTTACCTGACGATGTTCCTGTTTGCCTATCTTATTTACTGTAAAAAATCAATCAGAATAGAGCTGGAAGGGACCTTGGAGGCCTTCTAGTCCAATCCCCTGCTCAAGCAGGAGATCCTATACCATTTCAGACAAGTCCAGTCTCTTCTTAAAAATCTCCAATGATAAGAGCACCCACAACTTGTGGTGGCAAGCTGTTCCACTGGTTAATTGTTCTGTTAGGAAGTTTCTCCTTAATTCCAGGTTACTTCTCTCCTTGATTAGTTTCCATCTGTTGCTTCTTGCCCTGCCCTCTGGTGCTTATATCTATACCTCCATATGTCTGTCTGTCTGTAAAATGTCCATCTAGTCAGTCAGTCAGTCAGTCAGTCAGTCAGTCAGTCTGCCTGCCTGCCTGCCTGCCTGCCTGCCTGCCTATCTATCTATCTATCTATCTATCTATCTATCTATCTATCTATCTATCTATCTATCTATCTATCTCTATCTAACTCTATCATCTCTATCTCTATCTATCCTCTTTATCTATCTATCATCTATATCTATCATTTATCTATCTAATCTATCATCTATCATCTATCTATCTATCTATCTATCTCTCTATATCTATCTAACTCTATCATCTCTATCTATCTCTATCTCTCTATCCTCTTTATCTATCATCTATCATCTATCTAATCTATCATCTATCTAATCTATCTATCTATCTATCTATCTATCTATCTATCTATCTATCTATCTATCTATCTATCATCTACACACACACACACACACACACACGTGATATATTTATTTATATAACATTGGTTGTTGTCAGTGTCTCTAACTCCATTTGGACCCCGGCTTCGCAATTTCCTGACAAACATCTATTCCTACATCAGAGCTTCCTGTATCTTTGTGCATCAACTGGTTTCCCGCCCTAAATCTCACACCCTGAGCAGCACCAAGCTTTTCAACCCAGCAACTGGTACCTGGTTTTCCAAGAAGCGACGGACTTTGTGAATGTCAGGATAGTAATCGTTGCGGACAATGATCTGCAGCCAACGGATACGAATCTCGGCATTCATGTTTTCCAGCTGGGCCGAGTAGCATTCGGACAACTTCGTTACCACCTCTGGGGAAGACAACATTTATCTCGTTTGCTTTTAATTCAATTTGGAGGCCATCCAATTCTTCAACGACTCTGGATGGTGCACGTGTGCGTGTGCCGATTAAAAATTTCTGGAAAGTCATTAAGGTGGAAACAATATGGATCTCATTCCAGAGGACAGGCACCTGCTCAGTGAAATAACACTTTCTGACGACCCTGCGACTAACCTCACTGGACAGCCAGAAATAACTTATAAAAAGAAAATTTATGTAGCTCAAGAGTTGAAATTGTGGGGTCCTTGGTGCTCTCTGAGCTTGGTTGTTTTCTTGCAGATGTTTCATTACCCTACTACCGTGTTGGCAAAACTGTAGCACGCTGAGCCACTTCTTCCGGCACGCGAGAGCTTGGCCGGAAGAGCCTCACTGCACATGCTCGTGCGCCACCAAAGCCCGACAGCTGATTGTTGGGTATCTGGTGCGCATGCGCAAGGGGAGGCACGGAAAACACATGCAAATGCAGATACGCAGTGCACGTGGGGGGGTCATGCGCGTGGGGGGGTTGCGTGTGCATGCACATATGGATGGCACATGGGGTGATCACGCATGCATGCACAGATGCATGGCGCGTGATCATGTGTGCAGGCACGTGGTGGGGAAATCGTGTGCATGCAGATGAACGGCATGCGCTGATTGCACACACATGTGCAGATGCATGGCACATGGTAGGGGGAATCGTGCACAGACGCGCAGCACACAGCAGGGAGATTGCATGCACATGTGCAGGGGCTATGGGGGCCCCCAACATGCATTGCCTTCTAGGTACTGGCACGCAACCTTGAGCTCACAAGCGTGCACGCAATTATTGGCACGGGAGCCGAAAAAGGTTTGTCACCACTGCCCTACTTGGTAATTAAACTCACCGTGTGGCAAGGGCGACCCATCCAGTAACCTATCCAGGAAAAGCACCGTTTGGAATGTTTGCCACTCGGCGATGTTGACGCTGTTCGCAGCCGCTCCTGCGTCCAGAGGTTCTGTGGTCCAGAGATGGAATAGCGTCTCCACCGGCTGGGTCAAGATGGATCCCTGAGATAAGTCTGGTTCAACTAAAGGAGGCCCTGTGGCATTGAGCCAGCGGTCAAACTCTAGCCCTGCAACAGATTTGGCGACAAGGATCAACTTGGAAACGCGCCCCAGGTGTGCAGACTGACTGCGATCTCTCAGTCAGGCTCAAACAGAAAGCTTTCTCCCCACAGATCATCTAGTTCAGGGGTCTCCAACCTTGGCAACGTTTAAGACTTGTGGACTTCAACTCCCAGAATTCTGGGAGTTGAAGCCCACAAAGTCTTAAAAAGTTGCCAAGGTTGGAGACCCCCTGATCTACTTAACATTTGTAGAACGCAGTCAACGTGCTGATGTGGGCTTAGCGTTTTGCAGCTTGGCTAGTTAGGTATATGTCAAGCCTGTGTGCAGGGTGTCCTCGACTTACAACAGTTCATTTAGTGACCGTTCAAAGTTACAACGGCACTGAAAAAAGTGACTTATATGACTGGTTTTCGGTTACGACCTTTACAGTATACCCATGGTCATGTGATCAAAATTCAGATGCTTGGCAACTGGTTCCTACTTATGGCGTCGCTGTGTTCCAAGGTCGTGTGATCGCCTTTTGCGTCCTTCTCGCGAACGAACTCAATGGGGGAAGCCAGGTTCATTTAACAATCATAGCATACCCATGATCACGTGGCCAACATTCAGATGCCTAGGAACTTGCTCCTATTTATGACTATGGTTGCAGTGTCCCAGGGTCATGTGATCACTTTTTGCAATCTTCTGACAATGGGGAAGGCTAGATTCACTGAACAAACGGGTTGTTCACTTAACAACTGCAATGATTCACTTCACAACTGTGGCGTGAAAGGTCGTACAATGGGGCAAAACCCATTTAACAACTGTCTCGCTTAACAACAGAAATTTGGGGCTCATAATCTGAGGACTACCTGTAGTTGGTCTCCTTCATCTGGGCAGCACTCCTAAGACTCTGTGTGTGTGTGTATGTGTGTGTATGTGTGTGTGTGTGTGTGTGTGTTACGTTCAAGGTCCTCTTCCCTACCTGTTTTGCAATCGATGCATTGTTCTTTCAGGTCTGGAAAAAATGCCAAGAAGGAATCCAGCAGATCTTGGGCTACAACACTTGTGAACTTGTACTTCTCGATATAAGTCTGAAAGAGAGCCAGCGTAAACATGGGTTACAAAATTAACGGAAACAGGCTAGGCTGAGCGAGAGGAAACTGGAGGGGCCCGGAGTGGAAATGGCCAGAAAACCAACAGAGATGAAGACGAACGCACTAGAGAACGAAGTAAAATATTACAATTGAAGGAGATTCTCTAAGGGGAAGAGCAGAAAATGATCAAGATTTAAATAAATCAAAGAAATAAAGAAATGTGCTGCATTTCTAATGGTCTGACACATAAATCCCCACTGATGGAAAATTTCTAGAGGTCGTTCATATACAATATTTTTCTTTAAATTAGAGGGCTCCAGTCCTTTATGACAGCACAGTAATTTAGGAGACTGAGACTGAATTCTGAAATAAAATCAATAATGCTCCAGAGCTTTTAGCAAAACGTGTGTAGGGATATACTGCACGAGTCAAAAAGAGGGCTGTGAAAATATTTACAGACCCCTCACATCCCAGACATAAACGGTTTCAACTCCTTCCCTCAAAATGACGCTATAGAGCACTGCTCACCAGAACAACTAGACGCAAGGAGTTTTCCCCTGAATGCCATCACTCTGCTAAACAAATAATTCCCTCAACACTGTTCAACTATTTACTAAGTCTGCATTACTATTAATCTTCTCATCACTCCTTATCACCCATCCCCTCCCACTTGTGGCTGTATGACTGTAACTTTGTCGCTTGTATCCTTACGATTTATATTAACTGTTTCCTAGTATGATCCGATTGCTTATTGTACCCTATGACTATCATTAAGTGGTGTACCTTATGATTCTTGACTCTTGACGGATATATCTTTTATGTACAGTGAGAGCATATGCATTAAAGACAAATTCCTTGTGTGTCCAATCATACTTGGCCAATAAAATCATTCCTGTTCTGTTCTATTCTATTCTATTCCCCCCAAACCTTTCAGGCACCAGGGACCAGTTCCGTGGAGAGGGGTTTTTCTGCAGAGGGGATGTGGTTTCGTGTGCCCGGTTTCTGGCATGCTACAAAGTAAATGGGGAAGCCAGATTCACTTAAAACCGTGTCACTGTTGCGGTTAGCCAGCAGCAGGTGCAGATGGCTGAGGAGAGTGAGGACTCTGATGAGGGGCCAGGACCATCAGGGAGTGGACTGCTGCCTTCAGAGATTGTGGGGGATGGCAGCAGCGATGAGGAGGTTCCCGAGAAGCCTGTGCCAAGTGCACGTGCATGAAGGATTGCTCGGAGGAAAGAACAATTACAGCAGCATAGGCGACTCAGGAGTAAGGCTGCAAGGTAATGTCCCCTCCCTCAAGAGGACAAAAGCCAGGTTTGGAAAAGGGTTCTTTGCAGACAGCAAAGAAGCTCTGAAGCTCAACTTGTGGACTTCTTAGTTCGTGTTTGGAGAATCTTGAAAATTCTTATCTCTGGGCTTTTGGCATCATTGACAAACAACTTGGCAAGGCTCTTTCTTGTCGGAGCTAATTAGTGGAAAGCAGCCTTTTATCTGTAAAGGAACATAATTGGTTATTAAACCTTAAAAGGTGGGAGCTGTATTTGCTCTTTGGGAACCCGGTTGGGTCAGAACAATTACTAACCTAACAACGGTGGCAAGAAAGATTGTAAAATGGAGCAGAATTCAATTAACAACTGTCTTGTTTAGCAACAGAAATTTTGGGCTCTATTGTTGCTGTAAGTCGAGGACTACCTCTAAGGAGCCAACTTTCAAATAAAGGACTGAGATCTAAACTCCACCCTTGTTTTTTAGATGGAGTCATGTTTTTATGAAGGATTCAACTGAAAATGACTGGATTCCACTGAGATTCACTGGCAAAGTCGAAGGTGCAATCAAACCAGGTTACTAACTCGGAGAAAGGCATCAAAATGTGTTGGGTCTCCGCACAGCTGAGACAGATAGTAAACAAAGCAGAACCCTTTCTCGTAGGTGAAGAGGTTCATCAGGTTGCTGGGATTCACACCTGGACAAAAAAAGGAAGAGAAAAAGAACTTTAGGTAACAGCGATAAAAAAAAAAAAATGGCAATACAGGTAGTCCTCAACTTATAACCATAACTGAGCCAAAAATATCCATTGCTAAGGAAGGCAGTTGTTAAGTGAGTTTTGCCCCCATCTTATGACGTTCCTTGCCACAATTGTTAAGCGAATCACTACAGTTGTTAGTAACATGGTTGTTTAGGTGAATTTGGTTTCCCTGTTGACTTTGCTTGTCAGAAGGTTGGAAAAGGATATGATGGGACACTGCAACCGTCATAAATGTGAGTCATTTCCAAAGTGTCTGAATTTGGATCTCGTCACCATGGGGGTGCTGCAACATTTTTAAGTGTGAAAAATGGTCATAGGTCACTTTTTTCAGATGGTCACTAAACGAATGGCTGTAAGTCAAAGACTACCTGTAAACATTTTTTATGGGGGGGGCGGAGACATTGTTTTCTTCGTCTTCGTAATATAACTTTCTTTGGAATGGACTTTTTAGAACCATCACTGTGCGTGTTGCTCTACAAATGCAAAGCTGAGGATCGAAGAGCTGAAGAACCAGCTTCCAAAGTAAGAATTGGGGCTTTGCAGGGGTCCCCGACTTTTCCAGCTTTGCAGACCAGCGGCGGCAGGGGCGAGAGAGGACAACTGTGAGCGCACAGCTCCATTTGTGCAAGAGGCAGGCACACGTGCCTCCATTTGCCACTCCCCCAAATATATGAGGTGCGTTTGTGCCTGGAGGTTGGGGACCCCTGCTTTAGAGGGTTTTATGAACCCAGCCAATCCATGTTTATCCCACAAGCTTTGTCTTTTAATGACCCTGTAATCCCTCAAATCTGGGTGGAGCTGAGTGTTTACTGGCCAGATGTCCTTCCTGTCGCCAATGAGGAGTTCGCAGCCGATAATTACTCATTGTGCCCAGAGAGAGAAATATCTGCCGCTACCTAGGATCGAACTCACAGCCTCCTGATCTTCATTTTATAAAAGACAAGACCCAGCCCTCTTTGTTACCTGGTTCAAGTTTAACCTGAAGTTTGCTGACAGGATTGTCCTCCCCAAGGAGCTTCATCTGTCGGTGAAGGGCATCAAGGCGGAAAGCTGTTTCCAGGCACGTAAAAGCAGCACCTGTCCACGCCACCCCCCCAAAAAGAACCCGAATGGATTTTAATCTGAAAGTTATAATTTCTCCAGATTATGTGAAAGTGCAGAAGACTCTGTCTTCTGATGACTCTGTCTTCTGAGGTTACCCCTCTGTCAGGATTCCAACAGTTACCCCCATTTAAATCATGAGTTTCGAGCCAAACTTCCAAAACTTCCAAAGGATTTATTGGGAGTCAACATGACGGCACTGTCTGGATGTAGCCGACCCTGAGACACATCATTCATGGTCACGCTTGACCCTGGTTTTCCCTCCACCCCCTGGGTGTATTGTAATTCATATTCTCCAATGGGACACGTCCATAGCCCAGAGTCATCAATCGTGCTCTCGAGTTAGAATTTTGTGCAGCAGAAACTTCCATCACCTAGTTACTATCTTCGAAAAAACATTTATGGAATACAGTTTCAGTTTGGCAAGCCGCTGCACTGTTCCCCCCTATCTTTCTGTTGGCAACTCTAACAAGACCATAGAAATATTGTATGAGTTGACACCCTCTATATGGTTTTCTCTCCATAAGTAGAGTCCTGCTTTTATTTGATCCGTGTTCTGGATCCTTCTGTGATCCAAGCTCCATGGCCTCAACCCCTTGAACCACCCAACCTGCTGGATCTGAGCAGCTCAGCCTTTGGTGGGCTGCCCCATCCCACTGCGACATCATGGCAGCTCGACTAATCATTGCCACAGGGAATCTTATGCTCTAGAGTAGGGCTTCTCAACCTTGGCAGCTTGAAGGTGTGTGGACTTCAATTCCCAGAATTAGGCAGAGCTGGCTGGGGAATGCTGGGAGTTGAAGTCCACCAATCTTCAAGTTGCCACGGTGGAGGAACACTGTCCTACCTAGAGATCAGGGGTCTACGAATTTGGCAATTTTAAGACTTGTGGATTTCAACTCCCAGAAGTCCTCAGCTGGCTGGGAAATTCTAGGAGTTGTAATAACAGGTAATCAGAGTTGGAAGGGACCTTGTAGGGTCATCTAGTCCAACCTCCCACCCAAGTGAGAGACACTACACCATTTCTGACAAATGGCAGTCCAATCTCTTCATGAAAGTCTCAAGTGATGGCAACTTTAAGACTTGTGGACTTCAACTCCAGAAGTCTTACAGTGAAGAACTTCAATAGGGTTTGTCACATTTTAAAGATTCAAGGCAAGGAATGATTTAATTTGTCTTAATAACAACAACAACCACCTTTATGGTCATTGTGTGATGACCCAGGGTGGGATACAAAATAAACAGTCACAAAAACAGGTGAAGCCCCTTTTATTCCTTCACTTTGCTTCAGAGCTCCAAGGATCCTTGACTGGAGACAAAAAACTCCCCCACAAGCAGTTACAAAAAGGAGGAAATGCAGTTTAAACAAAAATGCCTATAAATTATAAAGAATAGAAACAACACAAACCACACTGAAGCAATTAAGGGAACCAGGCAGGATAAGGGCTTGAAGACATCCACAGATATCGGAACATACACTGTGAAGGACGCCAAACTCAGAGAGGAACGACAGACTAGAGATATTTCCACACTTTGTTTCCACACTTTGTTTCCATACGCATGTCCATCCTTTTAACCAGTTCTCACCGCTACAGCCCATGAAGAGGATCAAGGCCCTTTCCTCCCCCGTAGACCACACCATTTACGTCTCTCCCTTATCCTCTCCTCCCGGCCTGTGCCCTTCCCCAGCCTCCTCCACAACCTCCGGAGCCACACTTCCACTCCCTGTTGGCTGTTCCTCCACTCCTTCGGAGTCAGTCTCCAACAGGGGCATGACACATTGTACAGTACATATATATATATATATATACACATACATACACACACACACCGAAATTGATTTTGCTCCTGCTGGTGCTATCCATAACAAAAATACAACATAAATAATATAGAAAATGGTCCTTACACAAATAATTGGGGAGAAACTATATGGAATAGTACAGGTGGTCCTCAACTTACAATCACAATAGAGCAATTTCTGTTGCTAAGCGAGATAGTTAAGTGAGTTTTACGCCATTTCACAACCTTTCTTCACATAGGTGTGAAGTGAATCACTTCACTGGTTAAGTATTTAACACAGTTTTTAAGTATATCCCTATAGTCATGTGATCAAAATTCAGGTGCTTGGCAACTGGTTCCTATTTATGATGGTTGCAGTGTTCCATACGATCCGCTTTTGCGACCTTCGGACAAGCAAAGTCAATTGCGGAAGCCTGATTCACTTAACAACAAGCTCCAGGAAATGAAACCGGAGCCGCGGTGGCACAGTGGTTAGAGTGCAGTACTGCGGGCTACTTCTGCTGACTGCCGGCTGCCTGCAATTTGGCAGTTCGATTCTCACTGGCTCATAGTTGATTTAGCCTTCCCTCCTTCCGAGGTGGGTAAAATGAGGGCCCAGATTGTTGGGGGCAAGAGGCTGACTCTGTGAACCGCTTAGAGGGCTGGAAAGCACTGTGAAGCGGTATATAAGTCTAAGGGCTATTGCTACTAACTTAGCAACTGCAGCGATTCACTTAACAACGGAGGCAAGAAAGGTAGTAAAATGGGGCAAAACTCGCTTAACAAATGTCTCAACAACAGACACGTTGGTGGTCAATTGTGGTCATAAGCCGAGGACTACCTGTGTGGCTTTGTCAATGCCTTGGCAAAAAAAACAAACGGACCTGGAATATTGCATCCAGTTTTGCGATATAAAAAAGAACGCAGAGATTCCAGAACTGGAGTGTCAAACTCAAGCCCCATGGGCCGGATGCTTAGATCTGGAAAGGGTGAAGGACTGGCCCACGGGGCCTCTGCCAGAGAAAACTGAGCTCGCAGGGAGGGGGCTCCATTTTCACTGGGCAGAGGGCTAGCAAAACAAACTAAAAAGAAAACAGAAGGAGAAATGTTTCCCCCGTTGCATTTGAGCATGCAAGAAGGGACGGGAAAGGAGAAAGGGAAAGAGGGAAGAGAAAGAAGAAAAGATGGGAAGAGAGCAAGGAAGGAAAAATAAGGAAGGAGGGGAAGGGAGAAGAAAGGAGAATGAAGAGGAAAAAGAAAAGGAAGGGAGGGTAGGAAGTGAAGGAAGGAAGGAAGAAATGGAGGGAGGGAAGGAGGGAGAGAGGGAGGGAAGGAGGGAGAGAGGGAGGGAAGGAAGAGTAGGAAGAAAGGAGGGAGGGAGGGAGGGAGGGAGGAGGGAGAGAGGGAGGGAAGGAAGGGAGAGTGGGAAGGAAGGAGGGAGAGAGGGAA